GCGATTATGATCCATTATCACTAGATATTGGTATAGGAGATTCTTATGGAGATGTAGATGATTTTTATTTGAGTTGGAAGGATGTTTATAGTTGGGTTCCAAAGTTGCCAGATGACTATAAAGGATAAATTTTAGGAGCTGAAGCACTCTTGTGGGGATATACAAATAATCGAAATACACATTTTTAAAAATTATTCTTAAGATCGTCAATTTTAGGGGATATGTATATTTATTTTTATCAAACTAGTTTATGGAATTCAAATTCAAAATAATCAGAATACTTTTGGTTTTTTACTTAAAGGCTTAGTGAAATGGAAGATAGAATGAACAAATATAAATTTCCTGTGACACCATTTACTAGCGGCTATTGTAAAAGTTAAACTTAAGTGTGCTTTCCATATTTTTATAAAATATAATAAAACGAAACTGCCAAAAATTGATAATTTTGATATTATTTTATTGATATCAGTATTTAAATTTAACATTCAATGTTTTATATTTTTCTCTTGATATGCTTTTGTTGTTTTGATAATTTGTTTAAAAACTTTTTTATTCACTTCTTAATCAGACCCTCTCTATTTCAAATGGTTGAGATTATACAAAATATTTAATTTTTAAATAGTTTCTAAAAGATATTTTCTCATTTGTTTTCAAACTTAGTTTAATTTAATACTATTTTATGTGTTACATAATCTTTCTTAATCATTCTCTAAATATGCAGTAAATTTAATTTTAGATATGATTTAGATAGAAACATTATATTTAAGAATCTATGATAATCAATGACCTAAATTCTGGAATTATTAAAATATTTAATGATTAATTATTATAATAAGATTGTTATTAAGAATGATGATATCACCAAAAAAGCCATTATTAGCTTTGCATATATTCCTAAAGATTTCAATAACTGTAAAAAAAATTTAAATTGCACAATAATTAAATGAATATATATAAATGGGTCATATTTATTATAAATTTTTTTTCTAAAATTCTCTAAGAATCGAAAAATATTAATATGATTGTTCTTTGGTTCCACCAAATTTTCCAGGAAATCCTGCGTATCTTATTTTAGCATTTCTAAATAATTCATCATCTGAATAACCCTATTCAATATTTTATAAGACAAATCCATGAAATCCTCTTGGGTAGAGATCTTACCAATTATGTAAATGTTTTCTAAAAACAACAGTTTCCATCGGTTATAAATAAAATGGGCATTGTTTTGCCATGCAACAATTTTTGGTCATTCCTATGGCTTCATTAAAGACAATCTATTGGAAATTTACTCCTTTTTTTTAACATTCCTCGATTAACTCTTGTTTTGTGAATGGAGGAATAATTAAATGAGTATCTAAATAAATCTATAAGTATTTCTCCTCCATTTACTATCTTAAATAATCTAAGTTACTATATTGCTATTCATTAAGAGTAATTAATTTATTGATTTAATCATCAGCAGTAAAATCTATTGGTTTAGTCAGAACTTCATGTTAATTGTTATTGAATACATGATTAAAATAATACTTGTACTAGTTGATGTCAAATTATTTTTTTAAAACTAATTAGTAAAGACTTTCAATTGATTTCAAATTAAATTTTGAGTCAATGTTATAAAGTATATCATCATTAATTTTAATGGAAGAATCTATTTAAAAGACTGACTCTTTTATGGCTTACTTAAAATTTTTTTGTAAAGAATTTCTAAAATCTTTTAAATACAAACATTTTGAGAAATATTTTTCAAGATATTCTTTTTATTTTATTTCACCTTCCTTGCTTAATTGGGTCTTAAAGCAATTATTTTTTATTTAAGGACTTCTGGAGTAAACTATAAAAATACTATAGACAATTAGGTCTTTAATATATTTCTCAAAGTCTTAAATCTATATCAATCCGCTTCTAAATGCATAAAATATATAGATTATAGCTTTTGGTAAAGAAATAAACTGTTCATATTCTTAATCTTTTTCCATCAATGCCAAATTTGTTTTATTAATTATTTTATTTAAATAATCTTCAAATTATTTAGTTCCACTATAAACAATTTTAATAGTGTTATAAATCAATTCTAAATGTTCAAATTTCCATTAACTATCTGGTTCTTATAAAATATATGTTAGAGAGTTAGCCAACAATGCTAAATATGATTCTTCATAAAGTGTATCTACATTTTACTATACCATAAAGGTCATGAGTAACTTAATAATTCTTGATCTTAAAATTGGTTATAAATCTTGATCTGTTTCATTGAACAAAGGAAGTATACAATTTATTTCTTCCGGTTATTAACCTCCTACATTTAATTGAATCTAAAAATTATTCTTAATCAAATAACCAGAGTCTATAACTTTATTTTGCTTTGCAAAATTTATTACATTTACCAACCATGGATTTACTTGAGATCCTTCCAATCTTTTGACTTTTATACCTTAACCAATCAAAGGGAAGGTTTCTACAAAGTCATATTGAGATTTAATGTATTTCATTGATTCCTCCATTTAAGCATGATCCCTTAATATATCTCTAAAATTCTCAAGTGTAATAACTGATCTTTCTTATCCCTGATCATTTTACTAGTTAAATTATGTATTTTTAACGATGTTGATGAATTCTTATTTAATAATTTAAAATTCTTCTATAGTGATTCCTTTTAGAGCTAAAGCTTTTTACAAATGCTTTCCTGTAATTGTGCCAATCATCAATCTTTTTGCTTATTCAAATTCGCTCAATTATTTTGGATTTACTCCTTTCATTAGAGCCTCAATCTCATTGATAAAATATAAAATTTTTGTGCAATACTTATAAACAAAACCCTCCTTCACTCTAACGTGGAATGATTTATCGGAGTTCAGGATATCATTCTAAGAAACTGATAATATGTCAAATCCTAATTTTGCATTAAGGTGTCCAACGATTCTCTTCATAATATCTAAGCATTATTAGCATTATCCAGGTAACTCTTGTTTTTATTGAATGATTTTGAGTTATAGATTTTAAACCCATGATCTGAAAATATCAATAGCATCTTCAATAGTGATTTAATCTTCTTTTATGCTTTCCAATTAAATACTCAATCCATTACTAATTATTTTAAGATCATTTTTATAACATATACACCATTAACCTTCGAATACTTCTTTAGTGATTTACTCATCATAAGGGTACAAATTGACATATTAATTTAGCTACAAAACTCTTGCAGGGTAGAAATATTATTTCATAGTTTCAAACTTATTAAAAAAGGCCTATTCACTTGAGTATTCAATTAAATAGATAGCAGGTATTTGAGGATCTCCTCTATGATAAAGTTCTCTTAAATTCATTGCTAGATTAGTGGGAAAGCCTTTTTCTACTCCTAAGCATATGAAATTAATGCGGTGATTCAACAAATTACCTTTGAGTTGATTTTTCATTCTGGTATCCAAAGTTTTTACTGAATTATCCTACCCATCACTAATGAAGATCACAGTTACATTATTCTGTGTAGGAACATTAGCTAATTATTTTTCAAATTCAACGAAAGCAGGAACGATTTCAGTTCCACCACCTCCATGTTTTCCAATATCTAAATTTAGTTCTTTATTATCTTTCAATACGGTTGGGTTATTTGAGAATGTAATTGCGATCAAATTATCCTTAGGAATACTCTTGTTCCAGAAATTAGCCAACCATGCCCAACAATTACTCATAGAACCTGAAGCATCAATTACTCCAATAATTGTTAGATCTCCTTTATTAATTGTTGCTGTTTTCTCATTCTTTGTTAATTCCTCTAGAAAAGGAATTTTGTATAGATTCATATTACTCTAATCCATTTAAAATATATATGACTTATGAAAAATTTTTATTACTTTTAAAGCAAGAATTAATTCTTTCATAATGATAAATTATTTATTATCATTATTATAATAATTATTATAATGCTGTGATATCCATTTATAAATTCATTATTTTATCTTATATAACTTCATCTAACAAGCTTTACACAATTTTATTTGATTGATTTGGCTTAGATTCCTCCTTTTATTAAATCAATTTGAGTTCTTTTAACTTTTTTTATTTCTAGCTTATCATATCAGCAATTTCATGATTTGGTTCAAAGAATTCCTAATCTGAATATGTTGAATAAAAGTTTGATTAAGCTTTATATGAATTCTATTTAATTGAATCATTTTCATTTCTGAGAAACTAATTTTCCATAATTAGTTAATTCACTATATTGTCTAAGCTTAAAATTTATTGAGTCAGCTATTGATTGGCTTAATAGGTATCTTTATTGTCATTCAAAAGCCGAGCAATTTAGGTATCTTAATATATGCATTTTTCTTCAAAATCCTTCAATTATTATTTTAGTTATTCTTATTCATTCATTTGTAATTTAAAATTCTAACATTTTATTATGTTTTATTTATTATATATAAATATTAACTCTTGATATTCAAAGCTTTGATTAAAGTGAATTAAAAAAGAAGTAAGCTTTGAAAAATCTAAACTAATATAATTATAAGCTAAGGTAAGCATTATTGAATGTAACCAGTGAATTTATAAACAAAACATAATATATATATATAATACTCATTGTTCTGTTTTGAGTCTTCTGGATACCTTCATTTCGTTGTAAAAATGACTTTTTGGTTACTCTTGTCTTAGTTTTTATACAATATTTCTAATTTTTTCTTTGGAAGGTTGGCTTTGTGATTTAACTGATTGATTTATTTCGCCCTCTTCATGTTGGATTACTTTGAGCTTTTTAATTTGATTAGTGAAAGTTAACATTTTGGTTTCTAAACGTGGTGATATTTAAATATAGTAGTCTTCTTTGGATGATTCAGTTTTAAGGCTTTTTGGTGAATCTGTATGGTTAATCAAACTATTGTTAAGTGATTTTTTCAAATTGTTGCTTTTCTTCATCATAGTTAAATTCATTGAGTTTTTAATACTATATGACATTTAAGGTTTAAATCTTGTTTATTTTTAATTAATTATTAATCTGTTTAAATTGGCTATTCTTCCCTTATTAATTTAAGTTTATTTAATGAATCTAGTATTTTTATATGCATTTTGAATTTATATAGTTTAGATTTTGCATATTTGTAAAATATAAGAATCAATTAGCGCAAAATTAATTAATAAAAATGGAACTAATTTTTCAAAATTAAGGTTCAATATCCAATTCCTACTTAGTAAAAGGTATTTAAATCAAAAATTACATATAATGTATCTTTGTTTTGAGAATTTTAAGTATAATAAAATATATTCAATAGTGAAAAAGATTAACTTCAGAATGCATTATATTAAAACTCTTAGAATGAAAATTTTCGGATATTTTAAAATAAAAATGGAAATGATTTCTCGTTTTATTGTTGAGGTTTTCATTATAATTTAACAGAATTAACTTTGAGATTCATCAATTCGATCCTTTTATTTTTATAGTGAATTGGAAGAATTAAACATTCCTCATATTGAAGGTTATCATTTGCGGTCAGCTTTTGGAATAATCAATTTACTGGAATAATAATATTCCTTATAAAAAAAAATTGAAAATTTATCAGAAAGAAAAATTTCAAAGGATGAGAAGTAGTAATCAAATTTCGATTTGAATACCTAACATCACTTTAACTATTCTTTTTCTAAAGGAAATCTGTATTTAATTTCTTCTAATTGCATTTTTGATGATAAGTAACATTTAACAATGAAATTGATATCAATAATAATTATAAAGGTACTTGACAAGCATAAATTAACAATAGCTATTAAAATTAATATTCATTTCCTTGTAATTGGTTTATTCATAATTCTTGTAAGACATCGCTTCTAATATGTCTAAATTAACCAGGATCAGTGTATTTAGAATGTAAAGTGTAGACACCATCTAGATTACATATTTTATAAAATTTTACCTCCTAAAGGCAAACTGGTAGCAATATCATGTGGATGTACTTAACTAGCATTCTTTTTATAATTTTCCATACTGCTTTATCTTAAGTTATTTTAGGCAGTCGTCAATCCTGCATCTCCACAATGAATCCATTACCTTTATACTTGAGTATTCTCTTTTGGATCGATGGCTAAAATTAGATATAGGATTATACAGTTTCTGTATTTTTCTCCTGTAATAACCGAAGTCATTTTCAAGCCTTAATCAAAGGGATCTCTTTCTCTACAACCAGCTGCTTATGGCTTCTTCTTTTTATCAGTCAGAATTTCTGCCACATTATTTTCAGGTTGTTAAAAGGATTATTAGTATGTAGTAATGGCATAAAATTTATTATGTTATTCGGGATGGTTTTGGAATGTGGAACCAAAATCTGTATAATTTTGATGTACTGCTCGATCCACCAATATTTAATGCATATTTGTTTGGTCTAATTATTTAATTGATTTAGCTCCTGAAGTTTATGCAACTGTTGTATTACATTCTGGGAAGCTAACCTTATCACCATTTGTTTTAATCAAAGATCTGCAATCTCCTAATTACATGTTCTGAATATTTTTAGCATCAAACTTTGTTTAGAATTCAGTTCTAAATTCTCTCTGTTGAATTATTTATATAATTATACATATCCATCATCTGGCACTATGATCTCTTTAGTAATATATGGTGGATTGGCGATTCACTCTTGGCAAAGGAAGTAAACATCCATTATCTCCTGGAATGGAAATGCCTTCCTCAACTCCTCTTAACTGAATATATGTTAAAATCTATTACTGATTTTGTAGCATTAGGATCTCTCTGTAATTATTGAGGGGCCAATCTGTCTTCATACCAGTTGCCTAAATTATCTTTACAAAATACCCATTAAAGCAGTTTTACTAAATTCAACTTCATTTGGCCTTCTCATTGATACTATTAATTTATTTATATATTGAAAATATATTAGATCTGGCGTAATGAAATATAATCAATTGAGTTTTTATTATCATAAGCTTTACACCTATATTATGCAACTATATTTCAATAGATAGATACTAGATTATTCAAATAAATAAAATAAGTTACAAACTGTTTAATAAATAAAAAATGGATAACTATTTAAGTAGTATATTTGTTGCTAGTTATTGAATCTAAAGAATTTTATATTACATATATTATAGACCTAATATTATTGAGAAAACCGAACTCTAAAAGACAGATTCATTAAAGTATATATATATTTTTAACTATAGAACATATATATATAAATCAAATAAAAATATAAATCAACAAGCAGAGGCAATTTTTAATAATTGAACTCAGCGTTCTACAAGAAAATTAAGATTGTCAAATTAATTTAAACATTTAAGATATTTTTACTATCTTTCAGAATTTAATAATATAAACTATTTCAATTAATTAATCTTATAAAAAAAGAACTGTTCAAATTTCTCAATTTAAATAAGATTAGATCATAGTAACTAGAAATTGAGATCTAGCTTCTCTATAGTTATTTAATTTTGCTACTTATTGTTTTTATAAGTTTGTTTGGATTCTATGCTATATAACTATTTAGTTTATAAATATATATTCTATTTAGGATGAATATGATAATATTACAGGGCCTACAGCTAATGATGAGTAGAAAACATCTTATTTACTTAAGATAAATTAGTAATTCGATTAGCTATTTGCAAAATCATCAAAAATTTAATGATCTTCTTAATAATTTTAGCAGATTTGATTCAGTCAAAGAAGGCTTTGTATTTAACAAAGAGATTATGCTTATTGTTTAATTAGCGGAAAGTCTCATCTTGTAATTTTATTAGTTTTTGTATTGTATAAAATAAATTAATAAATAAAATAAAATGATTGATAACATTGAGAAGAATGAATCTATACAAAGCTATATGAATTACTCAGAACAAAGACTGATGAATGAAGACTCTTTTTTAAAGTAGAAACAAACACAAGAGGAGGATCCTTAAGCATTCGATTAATCTGAAACTCAGTAAGTTATCATTTATGATTAAGTTCATAAAACAAATAGATTGATCCAATGTTACAACAAAATGATGAGGAATAAGAATAAGAGATTCAACCCATTGAATTGAATCCGCTTTAAATATTCGAATCTAAGAAAATGGAAATCATATAAAATTGCTAAAAAAGCAAAACTCTCTACACTGATCCAGATTTCCCAATCAATAATAGTAGTTTATATAAAGACCCTTAAAAGCCTCCCGAATTCGCAAAGGATATCAAATCTGTTAAATGGGTCAGACCACATGAAATTTCTAAAGATGCTAAATTCGTTATTGATTTTGAGGGGGATTACAAATAAGGGGCTTTTGGAGAATCCTGGTTTGTAGGAGCAGTTGTTATAGTAGGACAAATCAAAAAATACAACGAAAAATAAAATAAATAAACTTAATAGTTATCTTAACAATAAATATCTTAACTTGAAAAATTGATTTTAGATTATGATTAATTTGATGAGTGTGGTTTTGTCGCATTCCAATTCTTTAAAAATGGAGAATGGTAATAAGTCATAGTTGATACACTTCTACCTTTTGATTAAGATAGTAAATAAATATTATTTACTCAATGTGCAAATCCATCTGAATTCTGGTTGCCATTGATGGAAAAAGCTTACTGTAAGTTACACGGAAATTATGAAACTATATGTGATGGACACATTGGAGAAGGATTAGTTGATTTAACAGGAGGCATTGCTGAAATCAATAATTTAAGAGAACCATAATTAAGCAAAATGATTGAGAATGATTAATTATGGTAAGTGTTATTGCAAACACATAAATTATAATTTTTTATGGGATGCATGAATCACAATGAAACTAAAGGAACAAAAAATGCTGATACTGGTACTCATGGTATATTGGAAAATCATCATTATGGAATAGTAGATGTAAGAGAATTTCCTAAGGAAAAATTAAGATTGATGAGAATTAGAAATGTTTGGGGACCAGAAGGGGGATGGAATGGAGCATTTTCAGATGATTCTGAAGAGTGGGATAAACACAGAAATCTAAGAGAAGAATTGAAATTAGTATTTAAATCAAAAAAGAGTGATGGAACATGGTGGATGTCATATTAAGATTGGCATTAACATTTCAATAAATTTTATATATGTAAGGTGTTCCCAGAAAGTTGGTAATAATATGCAATCCAAGGAAACTGGTTTGGTAAAACTTTAGGCGGTGTATGTCCTTTGAAAATGCCATCTGAAGGTTTACCAGAATACGTATAAGTAGACACTGATGAAAAGTGGTTCAACAATCCTTAATATAAAATTAAAGTGCATAAAGAGACTAAATTATATCTATCATTGATGTTAGAGGATGAAAAAATAACATAACAACCTTATGTAGCTTGCAATCTAATGGTCATTGCTAACAAAGCAAGGCTGAGTAGAGTTTGGGAGAGACCACAAAATTAGGATATAATTATTGATATGAATCCTAAAGGAGATATGCAAGCTTAAAGAGAAATTACTCAATATTTGATATTGAAGAACTTTGAAGGGAAAACCTTTGGTAATTATATGGTTGTTCCTAATATGATTGTCAATGAAACTAGAAAAGAAGAGAAAAGAAACTTTATCTTAAGAATTTTTAGTTCTGATAAAATTGATGTGGCTGAAATGTCAGAAACATTAGAAATTCAATAAGAAGGAAGTTGGAATGAGACATCTGCTGGTGGTAAAAGGAAATATGATAACGGCAAAGAAAATCCTAATTGGTGTAAGAATCCTTAATATTTCTTGAATTTATCTGTTAGCACTCATTTAAAGATCATCTTAAGAAGATAGGGACAAGTTAAAAGGGCTAAAGGTACTAAAATTGGCATGACCATTTGTAGATTCGATAAAGCACCTACTAATTCATTAAATATCATCAAATAATAAAAAGGAGGAGGAACAAGTATTTTCATTTTATTTACTCTTTTTAGATTTAGTAAGGCTTTTAAAACAGACCTAATAACAATTGGAAGCCCCTAAAATGGTGGGAATTTAAAGAAAACTCTTAATAGGATCAAATGAAAAATTTAAATAATCTACTTACTTTAATGAAGATGTGGCAGCCTTATATTTCCACTTCAATCCAACTGAAGGTCCTTTCATTATAATACCATCATTAGATTAAGAGGATCGTTCTGCCAATTATAAATTAACCAGTAATTTTCATTGTTTAACTTTTATAGTTTACTCTAATTAGGAAGTAGAATTAACCAAATTGGATGAAACCAAGAATTAAGTTCATATAGGCAAATGGGAATAGGATATTTCAGATGGAGGGTGTCATCTCTACGAAGATCCTTATGAAAAAGACACTAGCAAAAGAACATGGACGATGAATCCTAAATATTCTTTATAGTTTTTTGAGCCCATTCATATTACTATTACGCTTTGTATAGCAGAAAAGAATTGGAAGTCAAAAACAAAGAATACTGTAGGAGGTATGATTGGAGTATACTTGATTGAAAAATCAGAGAACAAGATTACAACATAATAAATTGTAAGAGTTCCTAATTTCTTACCAATCAATGAAATTTAAGAAGAATTTGATCTCTAGCCAACTAAGAATGGTTATTATATAATGCCAACAACCTATCAATCTAAAATACATGGATAGTTTATTTTGGCAGTTTAAGGAGACAAAGAATTTACATTATAAGCATTAAAATGAAATATATCCAATAAATTCTATCATAAATTTATTCTTTTATTAACTACTTTAATTATCAATTATTATCCATCATTTAATTTGACTACTTCCATATTATATCTATTTTTATGAAATACAATAATTATTATTATCACTATAAGTCTAATATTATTATAAATATAATAGTTGATTAAAAACTTCTCTTTATGGTTATTTAATTCATAAACCTTTTTGTAATTGATTTATTTGTTTTGATATATATAGATATTCTTATTCATACATAACTTAATTATATATGCTTAACTTAGATATGATTAAAAATGCAATAGTAAATTAAGCAGTTAATGAATTACTTATAAAGACTCATTATCTTTTTAATTCTCTATTAAGATTTAGTTAAAATATCTCGTATAAATACATATTAAACAATAAGAAGATGAATTTTTCATCCAAAGTGGTTGTTTTAGATTCTTCTACGATAAGAATTTTATAAATCTATAAATTTCAGGCAATCAATTGAAATTTTATCTAAATAGTATTGCATAACTAATTTAATTATAAATAAAAGTGATTTATAACACAAATGAGTAACGAAGCAGTGGCAGGGTTTATAGTTACAAAAACAATATAATAAAATCCTTTGAGATATTATGATGCTAATTTCAATGATTATCGTGATAAAAACATGGTTATGTATATTTAGAAGAAATATGCGGATCTAAAAAGTAAAGTTTAAATTTCCTGTAGAACGAACTGGAGTTAAAATTTTACCAAAACAAACCTTTGCTAATACTTAATTATAAGTGAAATTAAAGGCTTAAGAAGGCAATAAGGATTATTAAGGAAATTATGAATTGTAACCCGAAGTAGTAGAAATCATGCAAAGGGTTCTTGACAAAGAATAATTGGAAAACTTATTAAATTTTTAAGTGATACCTAAAAGATCTAAAAATTGGAAGAGAAAACCAATATCAGTTTAATAAAAATTAGCAATGTTGATGAATGACAAGATAGAATAAGCTTAATTGGATGATCTTTATAAATGTTACAAACGGTAAAATCTGAAACAAAATGTAATTTAAAAAATGAAATTTAGCTTAAAGAAGTAAAGACATCTGCATCCATGAAAGACACAAAAGATGCAAACAAAAGTAATGGGAAACACAAAGGATATTAAAATATTGAATTAGAAGACTAGGAACAAGTTAATTTTTTTATGAAAAAACTCTGTGAAGATCAAAATTTAAATGCTTGCACAGTTTTGGATATCTAAAATAGTAAATGTGAAGTTTAATTGTAATTTTAGATGAATTAACTTTTAAAGAAGATTAATGTGATGAAATGGAGAGATGGAGAAACATTGTGTAGAAAAGAATCACATAAGAATAGTTATTAGAGATCATGCGTGAAGAAGAGTTAAAACAAAATAAAGAGCTGGTCAAAATTTTCAAAGAAACAAGAATAGATTAATTTGATCCTGATTTTTATAAAAGCAAAGTCAAAATGACAACTATGAAAAGAGTCAATCAAGCATAAGATTCATAATATCATAAGTTCTTTGTTTCAACTGAAACTTAAGCTAATGGTTTAAGTTAAGAAGATTTTAGAAGGAAAACCCAATAGTATCAATCTCCAAAAAGCCACTTCATGGAGAATTTAAGCAAAGTCTCAAGGACTACTAGACCATAGACTAGTGTTAGTAGAACACTAAAAACCTAGACAAGTATAAAGACGGAGATAGAATTTAATAAATTTTTAAAGTAATGCGATGTTGTTGAGACTAACTTCAAGAAAGAAAAGCATTTGTTGAAAGAGAAATTTAGTTCTCTTGATAATATAATGGAAAAGGCTAGCCAATACTTATCAATGGATAAACCTTAATTTGAGAGAGAACCTAATTAAGATTTTGAGAAATTTAAGAAACAAAGACAATTTAAGAAGAAATTTGTGACATATTTGATTGACAAGGTGGAAAAACAATCTGATTTATTGAGTGAAAAAATAAAGTAATCATCATCGAAATAATTCATTGAGAGAATTCTATCAGAAGAATAATGATGTATGTAAATATAAACAATTTTTTATTAATATTCAAATTAATCAGAAATTAAGCTTGATATGTTTCTATAATAGATTGATATCTTCTTTAAGCAAATTTTTAAGACAGAATTTTAAATAATCTGGGTCATTCTTAATTAAGTTTTAGAAAAATTCCTTCAAGGCTTCCTAATATTAATTAAAAAAATGAAGTACCACTAAATTGATATTTAAACAAGGATCTTTAAGATAAGTTAAGTCTTCTTCAGTAGTTTCATCACATTCTTCTCCAACTTCCTAATTGAAATCTAGGAATTCACTCATATACAATGTTGACCCGGTTTCAAGATCTGCCAATCCCTTGTCCTTCTTTTCCTTTGGATCCAATGACTTAATAATGAATAAATAAATACAGCAAATCTTTCTGCTATGTCTTATTCTTCATCATCCTTGATCTTTTCAATTTCAACATCAACTTAATCTTAAAATTAATCCTTTTTGATCACTTCATCATCATCATCGTCCGCTTCTAATCTTTCATCTTCTTGTTTGATATCATTGTTATTTTGAGCATGAGGAGTGATTTCATTATCCAGACATCTAATCAATAAGGACAATATTTTGAAAGGGGCGTAGACATCTAAATAATAATAAATACAATAGTTATACCACTATTAATATTTTGATGACTGGGGTTGTAGCCTATAACTAATAAATTTTCTAAGGTCTTATCTTTTAATAAGAATAGTTTCATCAGAGCAGAGAAGGTAGCATTTTTTGTACCTTTTCCTCTAAACAAAGGTTATTGCAATAGCCATTTATCTATAAGGACTTTGAGAGCCATTCTGTTATCGATACTCCATGATGTTAGGAAATTGATTGATTCTTTTGGTTTTTCAATAATCATTCTGGCATAGACCAAGACTAAAGATTAGACAGTGGATGGCATTCTAGATCTATATATCTTGAAGACAACAGATTTTAATAAATTGATGTCTGGATTTCCATCCAATAAATTGTTTATTGTGATCATCACCAAATTTCCAGCAAATAATGAAGCTGATTCATTAGCAGAATTCTGTGGCACTTCCAATAATTTAAGATTTACCTTCATCACATCTTAGACTAGATTCCTTAAATTAATTTATACAATTACATTTTTAGTATTTGTCCAGTTTCAATAATGATAAAGTTTTTTAGACATTAACTAGTGTGGACTTATAATTGTGGATCTTCATTAATCAGAATTAGATTGACCATAGAAGGTAATAAATTAATGAATGCTTCTTAAGCCTTGTTGTCAGAGCAATACTTGATAAAAATTGATGTAAGATGCATAATTGCACTCATTAATCCAATGTCTGTTGGTTTCATTTTACTCTTATCCTAAATCTTATTCATATCTTCATAAAACACTTAAAAGCAATCCATAATAAATGGGCAGAATACCTTATGATACTAATATTATAATTTACATCAAAAATATGTGGATAAGCATCTTTGCATTGACAAATCCTCATAATTAATTCATTAAATTGTTTGATGACAATTGATTCACTATGGAATATACTGAAGAAGGACAATAAAATCTTAGACCCATTCTTCGCTAAAGTAGCAGCTAGAATAGATGAAAACCTCACTAAATGAATAGTTGATTCCAAGACATAAATAATTTGATCCTGACTAGCCTCTTGCAATACTTACAATATCAAATCCATTATTTCAGCCTTATATTGAAAGGGAATGCTGTATTTATTAATTTTTGTGGCATAACTAAAATTAAGCAAATACTTACTTTCCTAAAGCTTTTACTGATACTATTTTTAATGTAATTGGATATTAAGATTTTAGATAATTAAGGACCGATTCAAAGAAAGGGACTAGCAATTCTTTAAATTAATGACTAATCAATTCAGAGTATTTTGTTGTACTCCAAATAGCTCTAGCTTATAGACTACTTGAATCTAGATTGAAATTAATTAAGTTTATTACTTTTTCTTTCCAATTCTATAAGTATATTCTACATGCATTTTTTAATATCGAAGGTGCTCTCATGTTTTTATTGGAAGACAATAATATCCTCTGAAAAACTACCTAACAATAGATATCCAGTTTCTTTTCGTTTTTAAATAAAGGATTTTAAGTAGAATTAATTAGTGACATATATAGCTGAACTCTTCATGAATTACATAACACTATCTTGATCAAAATCTTTAGATTGTTGTCCTTTCAATTCTTGGAAATTCAATTTTGATATAATTTGTTGAGCCAACTCAATGAACTCTTTTTCATCACGATTCAATATCAATTTCTCACCTACCATCAATATCTACTGGACAAAGGTGTCTCCATATTTTTCGATGATGTCATTAATCAGTCTCAAAGCCAGGGTCCTAACACTTTTCTACAACAACTCCTCTTCGTCATTGAGAATGAAGTAACTAGGGTCTTTAACCCATTATCTTTCCTAATCTTTGGTAGCAATCAGGAATGTTGCCAATGTATTCAACAATGGGAAGGTACCAAACTTAATTAGGTTATATAGAGCAGGTTTAGTAACTAAGATAGTAATCAATTCAATTGAATAGGCACAAAGACCCTCAATATGATTATCATAATCATCGTCCTCATTTAAATATTTATATTCGATATCTAAATTCTATATTTTATAAATACCATTTTGCAAATTGATAATTCTCTAATTCGACTAAGGCAATTCTTTGGATTCTTCTGAAAACAAATTGTCAATATGTTCAGTATCAATTTGGTATACTATGTGACCAACATATAATTATGTAATTGAATTGAAAAATTTCCAGACTGGAATCAATGACAACGACAATGATTTTCTACTGTAAACACCGAAGTCTCTAAAAACAACAATCAATATCTTCAACACTAATTTCTTGATGAATATATGTGATTTTGGAGATGTTTGCAATGCAGATAAAAATAAAGACTAAATAATGCAAATAAGATCTTACCATCCATATTTAAAATGTAGAATCTAGACATTTGTTTACAAATGAATTATCAGTTCCATCTGCAAATGATATCGATCTAAACACCAAATATACTAATAAGAGGATTTTCTCTCTTAGTTTCTCATTCAATTCTGGCTGAGCAAATATACTGAAGCCCTTCTCAAGGACTGATGGGACAATCTCTTTACATAAACCTTACTATTCACCATTGGTTTCACTCAGCCTTCCAAATAATTGCAAAAATAGCTCAAGACTTGATTCTATGGCATTAAAGTCATCCATCCAATTCAACAATTCAATCAAAGGATTAGGCCAAATATGACTTGGGTCAAGACAAATGATTTACACTATTATGGATGACTAACATTATATTTTAATTAAATTACGATTAACTCAATAATAGGCATATTTGAAACATTCATAACCAGTCCATTCAACAAGAGTTCGCGTATCACTTTTCTTGATGGCTAGATTGATTCCCATTATTCAATCAAAACCCCCTTCAACAGTATACCAATCTTCAATCTTATTTCGACTGGATATTCAGGAGACACCATCATTTTAGTACTCTCGACCATAAAATTGGGATACGCAGTATGAAGGATTTCATATGCATTTTACAAATTTTCTAACGCTTACACAAAGACTTAAAGAGTTATTTCTGGTGTAGCTTCAGCCATTTTAAATTTTATATAATATATATTATTTATTTCTTGATCTAACAATCGCTAATATATGCTTTTCACTTTCCCTGTGTTTATGCAACTCTCCTGAACAATATTATTCAAGACCTTCTTTTTCTAATATTAATTAATATGATGATCTATTTCTTATACTTTGAGAATTTAATAATATTCTCAAATAATATCATATTAAAAAGATAAAAGTACATTCGGAATCATTTAAGAATCCGATTAGAATTCTTTTTGTTTTCCCCTCAAATGTCAGATGGGCTGCTTCATCTATATATTTACAGCTACCAAACTTCTACCAGGAACACTATTCAAAGTGTTTCTTGATCCAAAAGGAAGAGTATTATTGGGCAAATTATTTTAATTTTACATTAATCCCATTGATAATACAATTTTGGTCATTGTTTATAACCAACAATATTTTGCCTTTAGTGGTTAGGGGAATATTGTATATTTACCTTATCTCTATTGTATTGGAGGATGGTACTTGGGGGATTTTGTGTAAAATAGTTAAACCATTTATCTGATATTCATCAAATTATATTACATTTGACTTCATTGTATATGTACAGAGATTCTAATTGGCGAAATGATGGATACAGAAAACTTGGAGATTAAGCAATAATATGGAATCAAAAACCCTAGCAGAATAAAATAAATTATTAATTAGTGGATGGTGGGGTCTAGGAAGACATCTCAATTACTCAAGAGAAACTTTGTTTTATCTGTCTATTGCTATGTATGGAGAATTCAAAGCTTTAAACCATTATATCTTACCACTAAGCTTATTTTGCCTACTAACATAGGGCTACAAGAGATGATAAGCGTTGCAGAGAAAAATAAGGTAAATTATGGTAAGACTATTTTTAAATATCTAAATTTAAGATAACCCTATTCACAATTTGAATGATCATTATTATTAATTATTATATGTATCATATTTATTATCAATTTTATAAAACAATTTTTTTATTTATCCTATTGTAGTGTCATTTTTAGATTTTTTTAAACTATTTTTATATACTTAAGTCTTTAAACTAAGTACAGATGGTCTTTACCAAATTTCTGATAATTATTTTGTCATCTGACAATTCGTTAGTAATTTCAATGCTCTTATGATCAATTATGGTTCTGAGATCTGTTCCTTACTGGGGATAATTGGAATATTTTCCCCATCTTGAACTTTTATTTTTTTAATAAGTAACTTACTCTCTACTTAATCAGTTATTTCTACTCTGTTCAATTCCATTTAATTAGTTAAATATTCTTATAATCGATAATTCTTATTAATTTAAAGACTGAATTTCTGAGTTTTATTTTTTATTCCTAAGTATGTGATTAATTCTGGTAAAGGAACCTCATTGTCAATCAAAGTAATTAATCCAGATAATATAAATACTTTCAAACCTTCTTTATCTAATTTTTTTGACTATGGCATTTGTTATTTTTACATACTTGTTATTTATCTTTTTGATCTATGACTTACTTTCCTTACATCAATATTAGGACTATCCTATTAAATTTAGCAAGTGTATAATTACAAGTTTTCTATTATTTTTATTATATTTTCTAAAATAGGCTCATCATTAATTTAAGTCTTATTAGTTCTTAATTTAGGAAGTAACACTAATTTGTCCTTCAATTATTCTTTCGCTTTTTCAATTTTCTGGTAATTCTACATCACTTAAATTAATTGGTTTTAGATGCTATCCCTTTAATTATGAACGACAGTTAGTAATTTTTCAATTAGAACAACATCTCTACCAAATTTATTGTCTAAATGAAATTATTATAAAAAAATTTCAAAATCCTCTAATTCTTTAGTAGCCGTATCAGGCAACTCCAAAAGAGATTATAATTATACTTATTCTATTTTAATTTTCAATCGATTTTCTTATTATAAATAGGGAATTAATCTTTATTTAGAAGGCAATATTTGAACAGAATTTTAACTAATTATCTAACCTTCAACTATTTTTTCCTTATGTTTTTTGAACCACAAACAAGACAGAATTTCTGGAATAGGAATTTCCTACTCTATGGATTCAATTAAAATCAATTTTACAACTAGTTTAAGCAACCGATAATACTTTTTTTAACATTTAATAGGCTTACTTTCATCATCAATTTCACTCTAATTATTTGAATATGTTTTATTTTTGTTTTCAATTTCATTTTTTATTTCTGCCTTTTTAGTCTCCTCATAGATCAGAAGTAGTGTCTCCAATTTTTCAATAAATTGTTAAACTATTTTAAAATGAGCATCAGATTCTTATATCCTTGATAATCTTTTTATTTAATTTTTTAATTAAGGATATTTGACCAATTAAGTTATTTTTGATTTAAGAGATTCTTATTATTGAACTACCAAGTCTATCATACTTATTAATAGATGATATTCAGTTATTTTAATCCTTTGTTTTCCAATATTGAATTCTTAATTGCTCTTTAATTCTTCTGTATTTTCCTCCTTAATGTTTTTAGTTTCTGATTAATTTTGTTGAGCCTCATTGTATGAGTGATAATAAAATGCACATATATTCAACATATCTTGATTAGGATTAAAAGTTAAGTTCATTCCATTTCCTCTATTTTTTAATTCGGCACAAAGTATGATTTCAGGTATAGCAATTTTCTCTTAAATCAACCAATTTACAATCATCTTAATCTTCTCTTTATTCAAAGAACTTATAACTAAGGGCTAAATCTATGGAGTTACATCAAAGCCTTCCGACTGAGTTTTTTAACCTGATAATTGTTAGGCAGTTTCTGAGCATTCTAATTTAATGGATTTATTTCTTTAAGGATAGATGTTTAAATAGTTAGATTACAATAATTAAATTGATTAAAAGAGTTGATATTTGATTTAATTTTCAGGTAATTCAGATTTTGTTAAATCTAAATTTAATGGAAATTAAAACTACTTGTCTTGAAATATTGATTGAAGTTCTTGATTAACTTAAGGGTTATTTATTTATTCTTAAAGCAATTCTACTTATCTTAAAAATACTTTTTAAACTTAACTCAAATGAGTTTTGAATATCTCTTTTATTAAGTGTTCATAATAGTCTGTAAAATATTCAGAATCATTCTAATTATGATTAATAAGATCCTCGATTTATAGTTAATCAGCTATATCTTTCAGAGCTGGATTTACTGCTAATTGTTCTACCAAAATGTAGTTAGGTTGAAAGAGAAATGAGGATGGTTCATTATTATTGAAGTTTAAGGTAATATAATGAAGAGTATTTGGACATGTTATAAGGTTTAGGTTGGTGTATTTGAGTAAAATACACCCCACTTCTTAATAAACAATTTCAAATATTGATGGTTCTTCATCTTTTTAAAAAACTTCATCGTCATCAAGAAATATCTCGTCTTAATAGACCTCCCCTTATTAATACATTATATAATGTAAAAATTATATCCAAAAATTTGCATCCAAATTTACAAATAAATAACAGGAAATTCTAAATCATTTCAAATATCTTACTTTTTGGAATTAGATTAAAATCTCTTCTTGAGTTATCAAAGATTACTTAAATATCATTCATCTTCATTTTTTGAATTCAACATCTTAATTTAATTATAAAAATAAATAAATTTAATCTTTCGTTATCACTAATAGATGATTCCAATTTATTTTGATTTACTATTTTATCTAATCTCTTCTTAAAATCATCATAAAAATTATGTATTAAAAATATTAGAAAATCAGAAGTTAGCTTAATAATTTAGATACTCATTTGGACTTTAGAATGTTATAGATTTATTAAGTATTTAATTTTATTTCTATGTAATCATGGTAAGAAATTATAAATGAAGAATCAATTATTTTTTATAAAAATTAATATTGCAATATGAATCTAGACTACACTAAAATATAGGACAATGTCAATAAATATCGATATGGTGTGAAGATAGGTAACTATAATGAGGAAACATTTGGAATGGATGTGACTTAAGTATATTTCATTGTTAAAGATAAAATTAGAATGCTCATAAAATACCCAACAGTACAATGAAAGATACCTATGGTTTATAAAATACTTTACTTAATATGCCTAGACAATAAGAAACAGAGGCAGAGAAAGAATATTATGAATAAACAACTTTCAGTCATGGTGGGTTACAGAATCATTTATTAGTTGGTCATGGTTAATAATCCTATGTAAATAAATGAATTAAATAAATAGTTTGAAACTAGATAATTAACATCAACTTATGATCTATCGCATAATCAGCAAGTCAAACCTCAAGTGTAAATACATTCAAAATATGAACCTAATAAAACTCAATTTTAATCACAATAAAAAAAAGTTGAAGTGACAGATAAAGTTCAACATTTAGTTCCAGATTTATAATAATCAAATTAAGAAAGACTAGTAAAAAAGAAAGAATTTACAAATACATTTAACGACAATTATAAAAAAATTCCTTTAAGAAAATGAATTTACATAGTATAAAAAATTTATGATAAATTTATATTCATTATAAATATTAAATCATTATGAGAGATTGCTCTATAATGCTCACTCTAAGTAATGGAAATAACATATTTTTATATATATCAAGAAATTAAATTAAATTGAATTAATATTGTAATATTATAACATAAAGAAATAGCAATTCTACATTCCAAAAATAATAAGAGATATAGAAAGTCTAATTATTATTGTAATTAGAGGCTCTAAATATGTATTAAATATTTTACAGATTCGCATATATAAAAATTGATAATAAGGAACAAAAAACATTTTATGAAGCTTTATAAACGATGATTCTAATAATTAGAATGCAAACAGAGTAGATTTATAATATTGTACTTATGCTAAAATATTATTTCATTCTTCTTTATTTGGCTTTACTCTCTTTGCATTCTTTCTCTTTCTTCTTCCTTCTCTGCCTTATCCAAATGGTGAGGTGACAGCAAAGTCAACCAATTTTTCTGATTCTACTCTGACTAAAAAGGATGGAGAATTGACTAATCTTTTTCCTACTCTAATAATAAATAAATTGTATTAAATACCTAAAGTGTCGCTATCTAATCAAAGTTCTGGCATGATGAATTGATGATGCTTGATTGCTTTTGAACACAAAGGTTTAAAGTCTTCTTTCCATCATTTTTTAAGTTGTTAAACCGAGGACATAATCCAACTTTCTCTCTTGTTCGGACAACAAACCAAATCTAACCATTCTTCTGATTAATGCTTCTCCTTCAAATAATCTTCTTGGATCCTTTGGGTCAAGAGTCAACAATTCTCTTGCAGCCTTTCTAATTCTAGCCAAAGTGAGTTAAACTCTCCACACCTCTCTTTTGTTCTTTAATCCATACTTACCAATAATTTGCAATCTAAAAATGAATGATTATTAAAATTACTCATTGTCAAGACGTTCCTTTTCGAAAGGCTTTCTTGGTGTAGCTGAAGTCTTTGATCTATTTCTGTAATTCTTGCCCATAATAAAAAGATTTAAATATATTTAAATTTATTCACAATTAAATAAATCTCTCTGTTCATATTTCTTATATGACTTGATTAACCATGCACTCGATTTTGTTTAAAAAAGCAATAGAACGCTAGCTAAATTTTAAATAAGAATAATAGTCTCATTATTTTAAGATCCAACCTATAACTAATATGACACAAACATAGCAAAATAGATATTGCTTAAACGTATATTTATAATAGTATCAGTTGGAATGATGAGTCAATTTACAACTGAATGATTTTGAAGAATAACTGTTGAATGCATTTTTTAAATACTATCCTATTGAATATAAATTGGATGTAAAAAAGAATAACAAATTGTAAACTACTCTTTTATTTTATATGGTTGATGAAATCTGATGGTAATTCAACTTCTTAAATTATAATCAATAAATAAATTAAAGAAAAGATGAAGCATAAAAATTATATATCAATCAATAAGCAAAAATAAATAATTTATTATGAGATTATTATTATATTAGTGGAATGGAGAAGACATAATTTAAAAATTAAAATAAAATAATTCTAGATATGAAGATACAAATATTATATGGTGATGTATTTAAGAATTTCCAATTCAAGAGTAAAAGAGAGTTTGTTTTGATACTTATGAAAGCGATTAGAAGTTAAAACTACAGAATAAATCCATTAGATAAGCATTTATTTGCACTTCTCAACTATTTAGGAGATACAATGAAATTGATAGAAAAAATATAATTATATTGGCTTTGGGTAGTTTTAATTTTATTATACTATTAATAGATTGTAAAATTATGATTAAACACCATCAATATATAACAAGAAAAACAAAAATCATAAATTCTATAATGATGCTTGTCCATAAACAACAATCATTAGTGTATGACAATAAACTTTTAAGATTAGAATCAGTATCTTTGATTTCGTGAGTGGCTTGTTCAACCTAAGTTTAGTGTAGCATTTACATTTTCATTCAATCTCCTTAAGATGACTTTATCCTCCCCTAAAGCCAAGTTAATATTTTGAGCATTAAGTTACATTCTCCCAGTGGTATCTATCATTTTGTCTATGGTCTCATTTTGTTTAGAAACTAGCTATTTTTGCATCTAAACCATTTCGACATTGGATTTGGAAGTAAAATCAGTTTAGGTATCAGGAGCATCCTATAATAAATATTAATAAATGGTTGAATCTATACTATTTTGAATACTTATTTGATATCCAAAGTTTTTCTTAATTTCTCAGAATTATTTTAAAATTCATCCAATAAGGTTTTAGATCTCTATATATCTTGTTGAGAACTAGTTGATTTACATAGAATACAGATTTGGGGATTTATTTAATAAAACTCTAGCTTATTTAATAGAATCATTGATGCCATCAATTTGCATAGCCAGAAGTTTATCTAACTAAGAAGATGTAGTTTGAAATTACCATTTGCACAGACTCGTTCTTTTATAATTTAAGGTTTCTATGATAAACAGCATTTGAGATGGTGGCATCCATTTTTCTTATCTATTCAATAAAATCTTAGAGTTTTGATCCTCTATCTAGTGTAGTATAATAATTCATGAATATAAAATAATTTATTATAAATAGTAAATGCAATATATCACAATAATTTTGTTTTTTGGTAATCATCTGTTCTATTGACGAGTTTTAATGTGATGTTCTATTATTTGACCTTCTAATATTTATGATTGAGTATGCACAACACAGAGACGGAGATCACCATGAAAATACCCAGCAAAATACATAGAACAAGGGATATTTGATAAAAGGAAATAGTGTTATCGATGACTATGTTGTAAGTGGATGTTAATTGAATGATCCCCTCGTCATCATCATTTATCAAAATAAGAATCCAGAGAGATTATTGACTATCATTGATTTCATCATCAAAGTAAATGACTGAAATAGTGGAACAATTCTGTATGTAAACGTAGGGAGTGGTGAGTTTTGAAGTTGGGAGTGGTACAGTAGGACATGAGCTATTAGTTTATTAGAATCCGCATCTTTCAGTGTTCTAGGTTTTATTGGGGAATTGGAATTGTTGGATCAGACAAGGGTATTTAGAATCATTGTAGGGCAATAGAATGACTTAAAAGGACTTATTCTCAGTTGATGTTAAAGTTTAATTGACTTTTAGATTGCCTACTTTGAAGTTTTGTTTCTGATAATCCCCAATAACTTATCCTAATTGCAAATAGCTGTTTGGTTGAATAATTGGCTATTCGATTATTGTGGTTTGTTGTGAGTATGTCATGGCAATCGATATGAATAATATAATTATCATGGATTAATATATATATTATTATAGAAGCCAGGAATATTAATAATGATATATAAAATATTTTTTTGTAAAAAAAAATGAATCTAAAACCACCATCAGAAACTGGAAGTGTTGATGATATCAGTGATAAAGAAAAGATAAATACTCTCAAAAAGGGAGTGATAGAATTAAGGGAAGAGAAATCTCAATTAATGAAGTATATTACAGAATTAACCCTCAAAAATAATTGGCTTATTAAAGAGAAAGAAGGCACAGTATGATATTCATGTTTACGAACAGTAGGAATAGAAGTCTAATATTGGGGATGAATCTAAATAAATACCTAAACTCAAACAGTAAATATTTTTAATATTGCAAGAGAATTAGCCTCTACCATTTAGAATTATGAAACTAGCTTTCTATTTTACAAACAGTTTATTAGGATATGGGAAGAGAGTTGAAGTGCAAAGAGATTTAAAACTAGAAATTGATAAAAGGAAGCGTAAAAAATACAGCACTGAACAATCAACTCTAAAAGAATATCGAAGATATTGAGAGAGATTTATATAACAAAATAAAGGATTTAAAAGCAGAGAAGATAGAGATTCAATTGTAATTAAAGACTTTAGATAAGGAAATGCAATAGAGAGATGACGAATTGAGAGTAATACATAAGGGATTGGATGATTCGAGATTTACAGTGGCACAATTGTAAGGAGAACTTGAAGAATCAAGGGGCAAGTTTATTTAATATAAACTCATTTTGCATAATCAATTATTGGATATTGAGTGTCTGTTTATTTTTAGACAAAATCTATTTAATGAGTACATATTCGAATTAGAAACCGCAGCTTAGAAATTCTAATATAAGGCTAGTGAAATTACAGACTTGAAGATTAAAGATGAATCCTCATTCACTTTGTCTATTAAATCAAGAAATAGAGAAGAAGTCTTCGTTATTATGCACAATCAGGATTTAAAGAGATCTGCAAATCTATTAAGTATATCTATTCACTATTATAGAAACTTTCTACTAAAAGCAAAAAATATTAAATCAATTAGTAGCATACTCATCCATAAAGTCCAAAAAACAATGGGTTCTTGGGAGGACTGATGTCCATTTTTGGAAGTACTCAATTGAAGAATGGAATCAATACAAATATTGAAGCTAAACAAAAATGATATTTTTATAATCTAACATATTATATGAGCTAAGAAGATGAAAATAATGACATTGATGTTCAAGCTTTATTAGCCAGCATCAATGCTAATTTTGACAATGAGCAAATACTTAATGAGGCATAAAGCAATGCACAAGAAGTGCTTCAGGAAATTGATTAATCGTAATAGGGTCCCAGTGAATCGATTGTTATTGTCAGAGACCAACCCATATAGAAAGAATAAGAAGAGGTAGACCCAGTGGTGGAAATATTGAATAGGGTTGAAATATAAAATAGTCTCTTAACCAATCCAGAAATTAATTAGCATCAATTAGGTAAACTCTATATAAATTAAAAGAGACTGGTCCATTACAATAAATTATAGAATCAATAAAGGACAAATTTGACAAGCAACAAGAAGTAATTGTTAAAAAACAGCGAAATATTTTTACTCAAATAATTGATATCAGAAATATATCGAATTAATTAGTTAATGTTTAAATTAACTCTCATGGAGTGAGCAAAATGAAATTGAATGACTTTAAAAACAAGCAAAAAGAGATCGATTAGTTAGACATTTAAGTGTTTAAGACCAAAGGATACGTCTTATCTATAATTGAGAGATTGGAAATTATGGAGTAGAAATTAGATTACAAGATAGATTCATATGTTAAATAGAAAGTTCAAGAACTAGCAAAGAAATGAGGATGATTAAATGACTTATATTCGCATATTTATATTGGAGAAATATATAATTAATTATAAAATCATTACTTTTTTTTATTATAACTATCTGCCGTTGATTTCTTCATATGACTATCAATTCTAGTTATACTCATATTTCCATTGGGGCTGCATTGCATAATTTATTTTAATTTTGGATGATTGTATATTATTATATATTATTAAGATAATATTTAATTTTATATTAAAATGTCTAAAGAGGGCAGTGCTTTATGGTCACCTTTTAAAACAACTAAGGAATTCATTGAAAAAGATTAAAAGATTACAAAAGGATTCATTTAAGGGGCATTGTTTGCAGTTGCAGGTTATGGAGTGGGATTCTTGTTATTCAAAGGTAAGACACTGAGAGGCTTTAGTGCTGGCACTGCAGCAACTTGGAGATTCAGAGATTAGATTGAATAATGATTTAAATAATATATATATTATTAAGCTCAGCATTTGTTTTAGCATGTTCATCTAAACAATAAGAATGTGTGAATCAATTATATTCCTTTCAATTTGAAGTGTTTGGTAAGGTGTAAGGAGTCTATTTCAGAAAATATACTTAACTCAAAGCATAAGAGTTGGATTTGGTTGGTTGGGTACAAAACACTAAGAAAGGCACAGTCATAGGAGTAGCTTAAGGAAGAAGAACTAATGAGTTGAAGGAGTGGTTAAAAAATACAGGAAGTCCTAACAGCATCATAAAGAAGACAGAATTCAAGAATGATAAAGTAATAGATGAATTAGAATATGATCAATTTGATATCATTAAATGATATATATTAAGATAGAAGAAAGACTGAAAATAATTATATACACCATTAACATAAGTTATGCATATTCTTATGATGGAATAGATTACTGAAATATTCTTACTCAAGATTAACAGTAGTTAAGTTAAATAATATAAACATATTCTATGATATTCCCTCCTAAACCTACAATGAATTTAATTATTATATAAATCAATCTAGATTTTAATTGATAGGTATCTGAATGATGAATATTATTAGTCTATTTGTGTCAAGATATATTCAATTTATCAATTAAAATAAAGTACAAATTAAAATATATTTTATTCCCTCCTTTTTTAATAGATATCAGTTTTATTCAATGTGTATATCATAAAAACACAGAACTCGAATCAATTCAGATTAAATTATACATTACTTTAATTATCAACTAGTTTTAGTAAATAACCAAAGGAATTCTCATCATATTAAAATACTTCTTTTTATTACAATAAAACAAAGAAACACCTAACAAACGAGAAATTCTGCCATCTCCATTTGGAATTATAAGTAAATGTTCAAAGTTATAGTCTTGTTAGTCTAGATCAAAATAATAATAAAAATGATCAATGTTTCATTTGGTGCAATAAAAATTATTATTTATTTGCTTCTGCATTCTTTGATCAATTAGAATTACAGTGAGTATGCAGATTGTGAATTCTCCAGAGTTTCTATTAGTAATTTGGCTTAATTTAAATGAGAAATTAACATATAAAAATAATCAAAAAAAAACAAGCCATTATTTGACATTCCTTTCAAATATTACTAAAGCTATTCATTAATTATATTAATGGACAATTCTGAGTTATATGAGATACAATATATATTCGGCTCTTAAATACTAGATAACAAAATGCAATACTGTGTCAAATGGAAAAATTATCCTAAATCCCAAAGAACCTGGGAGCCTATTGAGAATCTTGGAGTTCACAACATATCCTCTGTTCGTAGATTCCAAAGACATGCAGATTACTTTCTGTTTTATTAGTTCATCTATGAGGATTAGGTGGAAGGATATAGAGTGCATTAAAAATAAAATACACTTGAAAAAATTAAAGTCATACCAGATCCTTAAGAAGAGGAAGAACAAATAGAACAAGCCAATACAGACAAACTTAACACAACCCTCAAGGAGACAGTTAACAAACCAATCATTACCCCTAAGGAAACTACCAAAAGGACTAATAGATCCAGTAGAAAGTAAACATATCAAAAGGAAGAATATGAGTCTCATTCCGATTCTAAAGATTCCGATTTTGGTAGAAGAGGCAAGAAATCCAGATCCAAGGCTAAATCTTCATAATCCAGAAGGAAATCTCCGACTTCTGCAGGAGATAAATCGAATTAAACCTAACCAAAGAAATCTCAGTTTGTAAAGTAAGAATAAGTAGAAACTGATGAGATCAATCCTGTTTAATAAAAATCCTAAGAAAGATAACCACTCCCAGACCAAGATAAATAAAATGAGGACAATTTAAGTGAAAAGTCTAAGTCTCCTAAAGGACAATAAAAGGTTTAGACAAGACTACGAAATTTGAGGAATTAAAAATCTGTTGAATAGATTAAATCTCCTGCTTATTTCAATTCAGTTAGAAAATTGATTCAGTCACTTAATGAAGATGAGAGATCACTAGTTGCATCCTACATCAATGACAAAATGAAAGACAACATCTTTGAAAATCTGGGAGCTTTGTGTATATTGGATTATATGTAAAGAAAAGACGAAGTATTACAGGAAATTAAATAACAAGAATATGTTTATCCTTAAAAAGGAGATCCAGATGCCTAATAGAATAAATAAAAGAAGAGGATTAAGAAATTAGAAAAGTCATCTATCAAAATGGAATCCCAGAGATCAACTGACATTGCTTGTCCTCCCATCTCTAAAAGACTCTTTAGATTGTCTGCCTTTGAATAGAAAAGGAAGTTAATCAAAAAGAAAGAAGATCCTTGTAATATGGCTGATTTCTTGGCTTCCATCAATCAATTCCCATAATTTGGAGTAGTGTTGACTGAGGTTGACACCAAAGAATAGTATGGATAAATTGGATTCTAAATGGGCGAAGAGATAACTGGACATTATTATGGTATTAATGCTAATGAAGTTGGTAAGGCCAATATTTAATTGTATTTCATCATGAAATTCAGAAGAGAAGGGGATAAAACATTTCTATACAATCATGTCACTAAAGCTGAATGCTAACTCTATGAAAAAGACTTACTCTATGACTATGTCTACAAAAATCAAGACTTACTACCAGAGATGTATAATGAACTTATTGTTAGAAGTGTTTATAATTAATAGTGACAATTTTAATTTTATTTTTAGTTTTTCATATGTTATCCTATAAATCTTTATATGGAATTGCTAAATTCAACCAACTCAAAGACTACTATGCTATACTAAAAATCTCCAAAACCAATGATCAACCAACCATCAAGAAAGCATACTATGCATTAGCCAAGAAATTTCACCCAGATGTTAACCAAGGCAAGGAAGATAAATTCAAAGAAGTTAATGAAGCCTATGAAGTATTCACTGCCTCTATTTTCAGATTTTGTCTGATGAAAACACAAAAAAGGAGTATGATGCTGCTAGAACACCTCAATCCTAAAATAGTCAAACCTATTAATAGCAATAATATTATGACTCTAAGAAATATTAATCTACTTCTCAATAGAGATAAAATTAGAATTATACGTAAACTCATTGGGTGTATTTATTAGTCAAAATCAGTACACTAGAAATCAATTTGAAGAAAACATAAGAAGAGCATAAGAATACTTAAATTAACAATAACAGTCGGGAATCATTAAATGTAAGATGTTGAGTCAGTAATAGTATAGACAATATGAGAGAATGAGGGCTTAGTAGGAATATGAGGATAGGATCAGATAGGAAGAAATGTATGCTAGAGCAAAAGATTAATAATATAACGAGTTCTCATAAAGATATTACAATGAAAATAAAAGAAAAACCTTTTATTCATAGGAGGAAAAGGAAGCATATGATTCATTTGTTAGATAAAGAGAGTTCGAAGAATCCATAAAGGAAAAGATTGTATTTAAGCATCTATGTCTAGCAAGAATTTAAATAAAAAGGATATCAGGTTAGGGAGGGATTCCAAAATATCTCCAAGAACTTAGCCGATATCAAGGGTAATTTAGGTTCAATATGGAATACTATCAAAGGAAAAAATAGATGAAAACATAATTAATTATATTTATTATATATTTATTGCTACTATATTATTGCACTTATTCTGTATTAGTTCTGATGGTTTTCATAAATTAAAAAAGAATAAATTGTAAAATAAATTGAATTATTTATGGATTATTAAGAATTGTACGATTTGAGGAAAAAACTTGTAGACTGGAAAAAGTTTCCTAAAGAAACTCTTTGTATATTGAAATCGTTAGAACAATCTCCACTCGAATGGGAGAATGTTAATAAATCAAAAATACAAAAAACACTATAGGCTCTTACATTAATAGATGATAATAATGATCCTCTAGTCACCACAATTAAAGCCAAAGCGTCAGCATTATAAGATCGCTTCAAAAGACTCTCCTAGGCCAAAGCTATTTAAAGAACATCATAAGAATAATAGCAGTAAGCGATTGAAGAAATTAAGATCTAAAAGTAAAGCAGTGTTTAGAGCACATAAAGCAGTAGATCGTTACCTTGTAAGGATCTTTTTGAAAATCATCGAGTACCTTATCCAGCTTATGCGGATAGGCTCAAATATTTAAAGGGAATAAATCAAATGTTTATTGCGAACATTTTCACCTTTAAAAAGGACAATGTCCTAAATGATTCTGAATATTAGACTATCAAAGAATGTGTAGAAATGATGGAAAACACCATATACCATAAAAGAGCAAAGGATCACACTCCTAGAAAAGCATATGAATAAGATTTGAGAATTTTAGCGGGCTTTTTAAAGAAAGACAAAAATGGTTCTCTCACTTACAGAATCTTTACCAAAGCTTTTGATCCTGTTTCGGCAGCTTAACTAAGGTATTTATAAAATAAAGAAATTAGAGCAGCAGATTGGGTTGATGACGAAACTAAGCAAGAATAAGCAAGAATAATTAAGGAGAAAATGGAAGCAGAATAAATCGGATTTTATAAGGATTTAAGCAAAAGAGAAATGGAAGGAATTGAAGGAAAGACATGTAAGGGATGTGGTCAAAAAAAAGTATATCTTGTGGATGAAAAATAAACACGTGCATCAGATGAACCAACAACTAAATTTTTTGAATGTTACAATTGTGGAGATAAATTTAGAATTTGTTGATTATTAACAAACATTTTATTATAGCTTTCTTGAACAGAATTTAAATTATATCTATAATTTAACTCAAATACAAGTTAAACATATCAATCACATTGTAACCACTGCTTTCTTTTCTCCACTTCTAGCACTCCTTTTGTTAAGTATAAAGATTAGATTTCTTCTTTAGTTTTTAGTTTCTGATCCTCTTCTGGCTTCCAATAAATAAAATAATTTCTATCTTCCAAGAATTATTTCAAATTATGAAAACTTCCTGAACATGCTTTGAGAAGTAAGATCATTTTCTCAAATGGTATGTCGTACCATATGCTCAAATCATGTAAAGCATTCTAAAATTATTCCTATTTCAACCTCTATGATTATTAATAGTTAGGATTCGTGGGAAACCTTTATTCTTAATACGTAGGATTAGCACTATATAAAATATGCTTTTATAGATCAGTTAGTTAATAATAGTTTTAAGGTTAAGGTTATACTTCTGGCTAAATTCGAATCTTTTTCTTCAATTAAGGTTCCACAGAATGTTTGATTTCCTTTTTGGTTTAGGTAATATCCTTTTTATTTTTGATTTCCTCATTGATTTTACAAATTTGTAATCCTTTTTTGTCATAAAATAAAATTCCCTCCAAACCATTATTTTTAATAAATTCTATAATTTATTTTAAATCTTCTTCTGTTAATTTCTTAATGCAATTAATATATCTAAGTTTTAATTCATCAGGTGTCTTTTTATGGCACTTTAACGATAATTACTCAAAATGTTAATAAGTTAATTTTTCATTTAACATTATTTCCAAAATCAACAGGTCTTCATATAATGAAAATTAACTTTATTCTAAATATTAAACTATAATATATTATTAACAAACATCAATACCAATTTTCTTTTCCTTTTCTTAAGTATGTTCTGAAATTTATTGTTTTATAAATTGTAGCATTATAATTAAAACAAATTAATAATAATTTTATCATTTTTTATTTACTTTTGGTAAATACACATTTTGATATGAAAATGTTCTCGATTATTGATTTTGCCTCTATTGTCTTGATACAGGCCTTAGAAATACATCTAACTATCGAATGATCTTTGGGTCCCTATCTATTTACCTTGTACAATCTAAAAAGGACTTTAACAATAATGATCCTCTGCTTTTAGTCTTATTTTCATCATTTATTTATGTGCTTATCATTTTGCTAGCATTTGATACTTCATCCATTTCTTTGATTTTCTCCATCGCTTTTCTCATGCCATCTTCAAAATCTATAATTTGATTTTTGTTAAACTTGGACTTTTGAAACATAGGAGTTTACAACTATTATAAAAGAGTGCTCCCTTTTAATTCTTTATAAACCTGAGCCCTAAGTGGAGTTCTTTATTAAGAATTTGAAGAATTTGCGTAATTAATATTTTAGTATTCCGCATCATCCTCTAAAGGTAAGAGCCTTATGAAAGAGTATTGTTTAGTTTTCTATCTTTAAATTTAAACTCTTTGTTTTGGAATGGGCACAGCATCTGGCATGGTTTTACAAATTTATTACACATTTGATTCAACCTTGCCGTCATATTTTTCAATAAGTCTATGCAGCTTCTGAATGTCCCTTTTAGGTTATTCTAATGTAGGACTAATTAATGGCTATTCTGTTATGCTAATATTTTGCACTGTTTTCTTTGGTGTAATTAAATATAGTAAATTTCTAAGAGCCAATAATGATCAAATGTACTTTGTTATTTTTAATTCATGTGATTATGAAATATAGCTCTACTTAATTTTTTCGTGTTGAGCGATTAACTTAGGTACAAGCTTTGACTCAATTACTTAGCCTTATTGATACTCCTCCAATTATTTAATGATTCCTCCTCCACACTCTAAACATTCACAACTTTTATTTCTTATTAAAATTGGAAAAGTATCAGTTTACTAAGATTATCGATAAGTATGTAATTTTTTCATTTATCTATTATCTTGTAGGAGATGGTTTAAGATTCTTTTTTGCATTTAGTTATATAATATTCATTAAACTATGTTCACTAAGATACTTATTTTTTTGATCGAAATTGTTCTAATTTCACTCTGGTATGTATTATATGTTAAAATTTTATATCATTGTAATTCTTTAAAGTATATCTAAAGTTATTAGGGGCAATGTTTTTAGAAGTGGGCCCAAGATAAAAAATGAAAAGATTGAATCTTATTTTAAGGATTATAGTCTTCATTCTTATAGATAAATAATTTTATAATTCAATTTAATAATATTAAAATCAAGATATAAATAATTTATTCATGGTTCCTATTAAATTTCGAGAAGAAAAATACTTATTATTGAATATAGAGATATTCAAGTTCCTGTGAGAATTTAGAATCAGATTGATTATTTTTTTGTAATTGAAATATTATCTTAATACATTATTATATCTTTATTTTAGTAGACTATATATATAAGATCTAAATGAATAATTGATAATTATTTCAATTAATGAAGCAATAATGAATATTCACAAAGATCATTTTAGATGATGTGTTTCATCATCAAAATTTTAATAATAATGGTTTTTTTTTCTTTGATACGGTTATTAATAAGGGACACTCAAACCTAGATCACGAATTGTTATGATGAATATCTCATTTGGAAGTATTTCATAGAAAAAATTGATTTCCAGTTTCTTCAAAATTTTATTTTCATTCCATCTTTATATAAAATCATTTATTTCACTAAATGATATCGAAATTTGTAAATAGGAATAGTCCTAATTTGATAAGCTAGTCAATTTTAGTAGTTTATTACTATTCACATCCATCTGATTAAAAATTTCAAAAATATGATAGAATGCAATTATGAACAGAATTTTATATGTGTGTACTACTAGTTCTACTTCATTTGATATGATTTTTATATCATGATGAACAATGGTTTTTAATACTTTCAAAACCTTTAATGCATCAAAAGACTTGATAGTTGATGATTAGAATGTGAAAGTGGAGGTACAACTTAAATTTAGCCTGATTAAATTTCTAATTATTTTTTATTTTGGCAATTTAAGGATTTTGTAGGTGTTGCTGATATGATTGGTGATAAACTATTAAAACTTATTATAGTAATCCTTGATTTGCAGGTATTAACTCAATTCTGTTACATTTGATTTGAAAACTATTAAGAATTAGGTTTTATCGGAGAATAATTCGGAATAGGATATAATTTGCTTATTTTTAAAGTTAGTTTGTATTTCTAACTCTTATTCCGAGTATTATTGAGCATTCCTTTGTCTCATTCTATCAATAATAAATGACTCCAAAGTCTAACCCTAGAATTTGTAGATTCTGAGCATTTATCTCAAACGACACCCTTAACAGTAGTCTAACAAGAGATCGGCTTAACTAAATTGTTGTTGATGAGCATTTGTTTTAATCAGATGAAATTAAAAACTTTTATATTCAAAATAATAAAATGGTTATTTAATTACAATCGGTATAAACTACTCTTTTCATATATGTAATAATTACATTATTAATCCTCTTTTAACTTTAGTAAATATTGCTTCCTCAAAGCCAAATGTAAAAAATAGTAAGTCATTATCTATGCTATGATCAAAGAAAAACTTAAAAAATATTACTATGCCATGTATTCATTACCAAGTACAAAGGAAAATAAAATTCTGATTGTTGATATGAAAATTATCTAGTGTAAACAATGTTTAAATTCTGTTCCAAATAAAATTATCATCTAAACGACCATAATATTACACCCTTTGGCATATGCCTAATGAATTGAGTATGTAGAGTCCAATTAAAAGTACTCTATTGCACAAATATAATTTATCAGTATTAAACATACATGAAGATAAGGTTTTAGTTTAGTGAATAGAATTAATCCAATCACACATAAAATTACTATTATTAGTTCAATAGGCCAGGAAGTATTATTTTCATAAACTGAATCAATTATTATTTTGAGTACATTATTTATAAGTACAATAGTTATATTTCCTAAGTAAATGACCTTCCTTGCCCATAATCGATTTATTTAATAGTTTTCTTCTAATTATTTAGAATGAAATGTCAACGTAAAATTATTCATTATTAAAAATAGATTATTATTATAATCGCTACTTTAAAACTCTCAAATAAAGATATTTTCACTAATTCAATCTCCCTTCTTCTTAATTTGCTCAACTCACTCAGAATATTTAAATAATAGCTATCTAAAACATAATTTATCGATTAATTTTTATTTTTACATTCCATGATTAATTATAAAATTTGAATTATGAAATAATAATATCAACTCAACAAATAAATAAATAAATAAATAATCAGCTTAATTTATAACATTTTCTCTAAACCTAAAATTATACTCTATATAGAACAATTATGTCAATTAATTTATTATTTATCTAATATATATTTTATTCAGAAATCAGTTATGAAGGTACAAATAAATTTATAATTTGTATAATTATGGTTATGTAAATTTACTTTGCAAATGCAGAATCGACCCAACACAATTGATTATAACCTTTTTTGTAGCGAACCATGAATAATTTCAGAATAGGTGGTTTGATATAAATGAAATATTTATTTAATTAAATTCCATTTTATAAATTAATATTATAAAAGAAAATGCCTCTGAATTTAAATAAATAAAATTGCGTATTAAATGTCCCAATTCTTATAACCCACAATCCTCCTATTGAGAGAAGGCACTGACACATCTCAAGGAAGAGCACAAATTGTCTCCAATATTAATGCAGTCTAAGCTGTGGCTGATGTGGTCAAGAGCACCCTGGGACCCAGAGGAATGGATAAAATGATTTAGACTGGCCCTAAAGTTACTATTTCCAATGATGGAGCAACAATTCTGAATTTATTAGAAGTTGTGCATCCTGCTGCAAGAGTTTTAGTAGACATTGCCAAATCCTAAGATGATGAGGTTGGTGATGGTACAACTTCTACTACTCTTTTGGCAGCTGAATTACTTAAGGAGGCCAAGCCATTCATAGAGGAAGGAATCCATCCATAAATAGTTATTTAAGGATATAGAAAGGCTTTGGAGTTGGCATTAGAAAAATTAGAGGGGTTTTCAATTAATATTGCCAAGGATTCTGCACAAGACAAAAGGGATACCTTATTAAAATGTGCTTAAACAGCTTTGAATTCCAAATTAGTATTATGATATTTAAATTGCTAGTTAGCTAACACAAAGCACTTTTTTAGTGAATTGGTTGTTTCAGCAGTTGAAAAATTAGATCCTAATATATTGGATAGAGATTTGATAGGAATAAAGAATGTGACTGGAGGTAGTGTGACTGATTCATTTTTGGTTGATGGAGTAGCATTTAAGAAAACATTCTCTTATGCTGGATTTGAACAATAACCAAAGAGATTTGAGAATCCAAAGATCTGTCTATTGAATCTAGAATTAGAATTGAAGAGTGAGAAGGAGAATGCTGAAATCAGAATTGAGAAACCTGAAGAGTATTAATCCATAGTAGATGCTGAATGGGCTTTAATATATGAGAAATTAGAAATTATTGTTAAAGCTGGTGCATAGATTGTGTTATCAAAATTACCCATTGGAGATTTGGCCACACAATATTTTGCAGATAGAAATATCTTTTGTGCTGGTAGAGTTGCTCAAGAGGATTTGTTAAGAGTACAAAAAGTAAATTCTAAATTAATAAACTAGGCAACTGGTGGTTAAGTATAAACAACTGTTAATGGATTAAATCCAGAGACCTTTGGAACATGTGGTTTGTTTGAAGAAGTTTAGGTTGGTGCTGAAAGATATAATTTATTTAAAAATTGTCCTTAAGTAATCAATTTGAATTATGAACATAGTCAAGAACTGCTACTATTGTTTTGAGAGGTGGAGCAGAACAATTTATTCAAGAAGCAGAAAGATCTTTGAATGATGCAATCATGATTGTGAGAAGATGTTTCAAAGCAAATAAAATAGTAGCTGGAGGTGGTGCAATTGAATTAGAAATTTCAAGATTTCTAAGACATTATGCTAGATCAGTCACAGGAAAGACATAATACATAGTCAATTCCTATGCAAAAGCACTTGAAGTCATTCCCAGAACAATTGCTGAAAATGCTGGTTTGAATTCAATTGAAATCATGAATAAATTGAGATAAAAACATGCATAAGGTGATGAAGAAGGTAGATGGTATGGTGTTGACATTAATGGTGCATCTGGAGTTTGTGATACACATTCATCATTTGTATGGGAGCCAACCTTAGTCAAAAGAAATGCTCTGTGTTCTGCTACTGAAGTATTTTCAATTTCAATTTAGGCTGCTTGTGCGATTCTCTCTATTGATGAGACAGTTAAGAATCCTAAATCAGATTAGGATACCAAAATGAAGCCTAAAGGACAACCAGGAAGACCACCTATGGGTATGAGAAGATGAGTGTTTTATAATATAAAAATTAATATTTGAGTATTTGAGAATAAATACTTGGTAATTATGTCAATGTTGTAGATGAGTTCTGAGTATCGATATTATGAATAATAATGCTTTTAAAAATTATTATGGTTTTATGATGATTATTTTTAACAATTGAATCATTCTTCTCTTAATGGTACAATTGCTGGTGCTACAATTTTTAATACTTCTACTAATCTTCTGTGGCAATCCAATACAGCTTAATGATCGCTATCTTAAAATTTTCCGACAGGTCTTTACCCTATTCAATCATTTAATTATTTGTTTACCTGTAATTTATTTATAGCAAACTCTAAATAGTCTATTAACTGTCTCTTGATTTGCAATTGATAAGATACGGTCTGCTTAGGCTTCACTCATCTTCACAAAAATTAAATTATATATATATTAATATTATATATCTACAAATTTTATCTTTTAATTTACCCATATATAAGTTTATTCCTCAATTTGTAATATCAACTCTATATACTGGAGTAGATTAATAATTTAAGATTTGTATTCTTAAAAAATGTCAATATAACTACATTATAAATAGATTGTTATCATATGAATATTTTTAATTTGGATTATTATTTATATGAAATAATTCAATCTGTGAAATAAAAGAAATCCTGAGCTGCATTATCGTATAATCACATACAAAAACATCCGACTATTTTTTAATAGAATGCTTACGTCCATAGCTAAACACTGCAGGGAACCAGAAATTTCGAATATTCTTTTTGTACCATGCTCCATAAAAGAGTCTTTTGAATAAATATTCCTTGGGACCTCCAAACATATAATGAAAATTGTGATGTTGATTCGATAATGATCTTGAATGCTAAATAAAACCCTTAAATGTTTTATCAACCGATTTTTACTCTTTCATAGTTGAATTTATCTTGATAGTTTGATAAATTATTCTTGCTATTATGTGCCATTGATTCTGCTCTTTCTGGTAGATGTCTCAAACCACCTCTAAAAGTTCTAAATTCATCAGACTTATATTCACTAACATATGTCAATCCTGCTCCCTTTGCGTTCATTATTTAAGATATTAATGAATTTAATCTAATAACCAAAAATAAATATAAAATCTCTCTCTATTTTAATGTGAATATGCTTAGTAATTTATTCAACTTAAACATAATATCATTAATCATTTCGTATACACATATGTCGGTAAGAAACTTCTTTAAATTTGTTAAGGTTTGCCTTAGTAGTCAGCTTATTATTATTTCATTTCTTAATGGCTATGATAAATTAAACTTTCTATTTTAGAATTCGCTATTGAAAAATATTGATCCAAAATGTTTTTATTCTATTAATTTGTTTGTAAAAGCATTCTAATTTTTGAATGAGATTTGGGTTGAAAGTAAGAATAAAAATATTTCAAAAATTAAATTCAGTTTTTTATACATATTTTATCTTCTCTTTTAATACTGAAGTAGACTGATATATAGTATAAAAATAAACATAAAGAAGAAACAAAAATTAAAAAGAAAAGAAATGAATAATATAACATAATTTATTTGATTTATAATATTTTAACAGATTATTATAATTTTTAACGTATAATTAAAATGCTTCAAGAGCAGTACAGATTCTTTGGTAAGGAAATAGTCAATTCTTCTGGTGAATTTTATAAGGAAAACATTGACAGGAATAAATCAAAGCATTTAACAGTGCTACCTAGATATTTAAAACTGAATTTATGGTGTGGGGAAAAGGAAAACTAGATGGAAGAGGAGCCCAATATTAATTAATTGTGTCAATTTGATTAATAGATAATAAAGGATCCATAGTTTACACCAATATACAATTAAGAAATATTTTAATATCTATTAAGTTAAGAACAGAAATATCTAGTTAATAACAATTATATGAATGAACAGCAATAACCAGACTTAAATGCAAGAATGAGATCTATTTTAGTTGATTGGTTAGTGGATGTCCACCTTAAATTTAAATTAAGGGATGAAACCTTATATTTAACATCGTATTTAATTGATAGATTTTTGAATATTCAAAAAACAACTAGATAACAATTATAATTAGTAGGAGTAGCTTCGTTATTTATAGCTTGTAAATATGAAGAAATATACCCCCCAGATCTAAAGGATTTTGTTTATATAACTGATAATGCATATACAAAACAGGATGTTTTGGATATGGAAGGTCAAATTTTATAGACTCTAGGTTTCTCAATTACTCAACCATCTAGCTATAGTTTCCTATAGAGATTCGGCAGAATAGCCGGATTGGATACAAAAAATTTATTTTTGGCCCAATATTTATTGGAACTGTCAATAGTCGACATCAAATTCATGAATTATAAACCATCTTTCTTGACCTCTGCAGCTATTTATTTAGTCCATAAGATAAGGTATCAAACTTATATTTTCATAGAAAGACTCCTTAATCTTGGAATGAAGAGATGCAAAGCACAACAGGATACAATGAATAAGAACTAAGATTTTGTGCTAAAGAAATGTGTTTGGTCCTTCAATCTTCAGATAAATCAAATCTCTAAGCAGTAAGAAAGAAGTTTGCTTAGCCAAAATATCTAGAAGTTTCTAGAATCAGAGTTGAAAGACAAACTAAACCATAAAAATGAATTTTTAATTCATTTCTAGTTATATTTATACAAATACATATACATGAGTAAATATCAATAATAAAATATTCTATCATAATTTAATTAAAGTAGGATATTCAATTATTATCATTCATATTGTTAAGTGAATTAACGAGATATGTTAGCACTCTTGGCAACATATGAATTAGCACTTTTGGTTCTAAATCTGTAAGCATCAAAGGATCTTCTTGAAGCCAATGTTATGATTTTGTCCTTATTGAATCTCTCATTAATATCTTAAACGCAATGTCTATTGATATTGACCCACCTAGTCTCATTTGCTTATTTTTGCAATAGATGAGTTGCTTATTCACTTGCAACTTTTTACATAAATGCTGATATCTGACAGGATTATCTTTTTTTCAAAACCATTAATTTATTTTTCACTTTTGATTTTAACTAAATATGAATCATTAGAATAATACAATCATTTCTTGTTATTTCTTTTCCAAATACTCAATAAAATCTGCTTCTTCCTTAACTTTTTCTGCCTACTAAAATTCCTTTAATTTTAAAAGCTATTTCTATTTCTATCTTAAATCTAGAACTTTTTTCGAAACCTTAAACACTTTGGGCTATAGCTCTTCTTAAAATTACTTGCTCATCTCTTAAACTGTTTTTTTTTGTTATTCCTAAAAAAATCATTATTGTTATTTACTATTAGCATATTAAATTTATAAAATCTACTATTTTGGAAATCGATTACAAACTCATTCCACTTTTTTTATTAATGAAATTAATGTTCAAAGGCAGCTTTTTAGATCAAAGTTTCTTAATATTTTTGTAATTGTTTTATGTAGTTTTTCCACCTTCTTTACTACTTTGTTTTTACTTCGGATATTCTATTCTCAATTCTATTCATTTCCCTTGCATCCCCATTTTTGCAACAGACTTTATAATAATCTTTGAGCATAATTATTAAATCATTTATTTTGGGATTATTTAAATAATCTATTCTCCTTCTATCTCTTTGATTTCCTTCTATTTAAGCTATTAGCATTTCACTCTGTATTTAATTTAAACTTAATTCCTGTTATTGTTACATTACAGATTGTCTTAACTCTTCATAATAATCTATTTCTGTAATGAGCATTATAATATCTTCAATTGCAAATTCCTTGCATTCTTTAAGCAAAAGGTTGTCGAAGTAAATTTTGTCTATAAAATTAGAATCTAAATACAATCCTTATTGCATTCATAAATATTAAACAAAATTTTATCTATCTACTCTAACTATATAAATCCAACTTATTATTCATCCTATTGATTGAAAAGCCTCATAAGAGTGCCTAGTTTCAGAGTATTAATCATTTATAAATAATAACAAAAATTAATATTTTTATAGTTTATGATAATAGATTGATTGATTTCAATAAGTATTAAAAGACAATCAAAATAGATATGCAAAATTAATGACGGAATAATACTCAATAAAAGATCTAAATCCTACAGTTATAAAATTATATATATTTAAAAGAACATTAGTTTCTCTCATATTTATTATAATATTATATGTAGATGCTATATTAGAATAAATAAGTTAATATTTATTATTGTAAGTAACTACTTTTTGAAATTTTATATTTTTCTCTTCTTCTTATTTATTATTTATTAAAACTGAAATTTATTAAATTTCTAAAGTGAATCTCTTTCATCTTTTAGGAAAATTTGACTACTAAATCTTTAATTTTAAAAATCTTTAACAATTATTTAATAATATCTATTCAAACATCAAAACTATAATATGATTTGAATAATGAATACTTAGGTTTCTAATATAAATTTACACGTGTTTTTTTGAAATATTAAATCTTTTTAAAATTATTTCTATTCTGCATAGACTTAAAATAAGAATTCATTATTTTTTCGTTTAGTTGAACACAGCACTAGAATTCAATCTGATTTATAAATACTATTAAATTGAAATAATAATGTCATTAAAATAAGCATAGTATTTATTTTTTAAGATGACAAATTTGATATATGTTATCTTTTATATTTTCTATTTTAAAACAAACAAATGTAAAGGTTAGGCTAATTAAAATGGATTAGATGCAGTAATTATATCTATAAAATAAACAGTTTTATAAATAAAATAATAGATCCGTTAAACTTATAGATGCGTTTTTGATGCATCCTTAAAGGAGAAACAATAAATGGATCAATTACTAATGATCATATATTATAATGCTTTCGTAATCTTGTATCTTAGAGTAATTTGTAATAATTTCTTCGGTGTCTTAGATAACAAATTAAATAATAAAAATGAAAGCTAAAGCAATAATTGAAGTTGTCGTTTTTTTGGATTCTCTTAAAACCATTGGGATCTTTTTATTGGATGAGGGAATGTATCAAATAAGGATTAACTTATATATATAGAGTGTAAGTGATTTTGAGTATTGCAGTCCCAAAATTTGAAGATTCCTCTCACTCCGAAAGAAACTTTGTTGTTCAAGAGAAATGAATAACAATACTTGCCACAACACACAATAGATAATTTCTACATGAGTGATGCTTTCTTATTGAGATAATGGACAGAAGAAGTACTAAATTATTTAAATTGGAAAGGAAAGATTTGAGATAAAGAACGGGTGTAGGTTCAGTGGTGCAATTCCACATAATTTGAAAGAGCAACCATGTTTTATGGAGATCGAATTGATGTATTATGATTTAGCATAGAAAATTGTTTCGTTTTAAAGCATATCGATAGCAAAGTTTAAAATTGAAAACCTATCCAATGGGATCTATGAATATGTTCCTGTGATACTAGGAGAAGATCACTTCAGTTTATTGAATATCATGGTATGATTGAATATCTAAGAGATTAGGTCATTTGTTCCTTGACTAGTTTTGATATTTAACTATAGCAAGTGTAAAATGAGGATAAAAAGGGAGCAGATCAACATCTACATATAAATATGAGGCAACTGTACAACAAGGTGTTGGAACCTCTGAAAACATCATATCGAAACATGCAGACATTCTATTATAATATGGAGTTGGAAATGGAAAGACCAAGCAGTAGCGGGGGTATGCAATACCATGTGAGATAAACTAAGAATTTTTAGGTAATGTCATTATCGAGTGCGGATTCATTATTAAAAAATGAACAAAACACTTAATTAATAAGCAAAGTAATGGCTAATGAGTTTAAAGTGTTACAAAGTACAATAAATCAATTGTGGCATAAAATAATCATTGGATTAAAGCTCGGACATTAAAAAATATTAAGATAATTGAAAAAGGAGTCATTAACAAATTTTTAAAGTCGATACTCTGCATTCACTCAAAAAGAAGTAATCCCTGTGGTAGATCATCAATACACTATGATTCCTTAATAACAGAAATAAAGTCAAGAGTAGGCAGACTTACAAAGCAAAAGATTGGAGTATTAGAAATTGTTACTCCAAGGCCCATCTAAAATAGTTGATTTAAAAATAATAGACGAAATCAAAGATAAGTTAATGATTGTTGAAAAGCATTACGTTACTAGACAGACCTTTTAGTTGTCTAGATCTAAGTTGCACCTTATCGTTTTGGTTCATGGTTATTAGGGACATTCTTATGATATGAGATTATTGGAGAATTACATGTGTTTGAGGTTTCCTTAGCATATGTTGTTGGTATCATTATGTAATCAACAAAACACAGAAGGAGATATATTACAAATGGGCAAATACCTTAGTGATGAAATTAAAAACTACATTGCAACATGGTCTTACACAGATAAACTAGTAATCTCCTTTATTGGGCACTCGTTAGGAGGGTTGATCATAAGAGCAGCATTGCCCTATTTGGATTTTGAATTTCATACATTTCTAACATTGGGAACACCTCATTTGGGAAATGTTACTAATCAAAGGCCATTAATAAAATTTGGAATGTGGTTTTTTTAAAAACTAAAGAAATCTCTAAGTTTGTCTCAATTGAATTGCTATGATGATACTTTATTAAAGCTATCACAATTTCCTGGACTGAATAAATTTAAGCATATCATTTTGTTTGGGTCTTAATAGGATCATTATGTGAATAGTGAAAGTAGTTTGCTCATGAAAGTCTCAGGAATTGAAAATGAGTAACAGCATAACGAAATGGCAACCAACATTTTAAGATAATTACATCAAAACGAAGTTTTAAGGATTAGTATAGATTATAAATTTTATGATGGGTATGTATTATAATCATAATTGTTAGAGATTTTGATACGTTTTTAGGAAGAAAAGCACATATTGCAATATTGGAATCACATTTTCTAAATTAATATATAATTTATAACTTGGGAGACTATTTTAAATGAATTGATACGATTGTATAATAATTAAAAATTATATTCTTTTGTTATTTATATGATGAAAATCATTTGATTCCCAGAACAAGTATCTATTTACAAGTGTTATACAAATTTATTTATACGATAAAGTTTAATTAGTAGGAATGTTTACATATAAATCCTTATAGTGTGTTAAAATTCATAATTAAATTTATGTTCACATAATTAAATAAGAAATTAACATTATCATCTTCCTTCAAAACTGCTCCAAATATTGGACTCATCAAATATTGGGGAAAATGGAATGAAAGGGAAATCATACCATTGAATACTAATATTGGTGTGACTTTAAATCCTAAGGATATATTCACAACAACAACTTTAACATTGAATCCAGAAACAGATAAGAATTAATTACTTATTAATGGAAAAGACTTTCACATTAGTAATAGGATTGAGAGACTCTTCGGTATATTCAGAGAATAAATACTATAATCAAAATAATTCGCATCTAACAAGTACAAAAATTCTCCTTCAGATAAACCCTTGGGATAGGTTATTCCTGATATAGAAAAGTATGGAATTAGAGTTGAATCAAATAATTCATTTCCAACTGGAAGTGGATTGGCATCATCATCATCAGGGTTATCTGCACTTGCATTATGCTTATAGGATATTCTGAAGACTGATATTGATGTTCGATATTTGAGTAGAATTGGATCAGGAAGTGCCTGCAGATGTTTATATGGAAATCTTGTATTGTTTCCAGGTGTCTAATTATCAAACTTAGATAAATCAGATCCAGAAACTATAAGTTTGGAAAGCAAAAGATGTTTGCCATATGAAGTTCAAAGTAGCAAATGGTTGAAAGATAAAGTTTCTATTGTCATATTGACTGATACTCATTAAGGATAAAAAGATGTACTTTCGAAAGATGGAATGAAATTGACATGGGAAACTAGCAAACTCATTTAGGGGAGAGTTAGACAATACGTTGAATAACACATCACTGAATTGCAATCAGCTTTGGAGAAACAGGACTTTAACAAGGTTATGGAAATAATCATTAAAGATAGTAACCAATTTCATGCTACTTGTATGGATACATACCCACCACTATTATATTTGAATGATTTCTCCAGACAAATTATTAAGATGGTTCATATCTTCAATAGAAATGCAAAACATATTGTTGGGTATACATTTGATGCAGGTGCTCATGCTGTATTGTTGATTCATAATGATGAATTGCAGTCCTTTAAGAAGTTCTTATCAGAAGCAGGTAAATAAACATATCAATATCTTAGAAAACTTATTTACAAAGTAGAAGTACATCATTCCAAGTTAACAATTTTGGACATCAATTGGAGAGGGTCCAATCAATTTGAATTGAATAATTTGATTGTGTATTTTATATTATTTATCATTATCTTAAAATACTTCTTTCGCTAGTGCATAATAAATGATGCTATAAGAAATAACATGGAAACACTATGTCACCATCAAAGTACATTTAAGATAACAAATACACGTTTCCATTCTTGGCCAAGTGTCTTCTGAATTCCACCAATTGCACATTCAATAATATGAAGGTATATAAAGCAAACAGGACTAAGATCCTTATAAAAATGACTTTTTATTGTACCAAATTATTGCTGTTGCTGCATCCTGGATATTCAGATATAATCCAACAAATAGGATTTCAAACAGAAGCACAAATGATATTCTAGTTAATAATTTAATTACTGAGTAAGTACCTCCATGGTTGATCACAAACGAGGAAGCAGTTTTTAATGCCTTCTGACTTATCCAAGTGGAAACAAAGTAAAATTACAAGTAAGTTGATTAAGAGTAAACCAATAACAACTTCCAAATGCAATTATGGGTATAAGACTACTGCATATATAAACCAAAATAATCTCACTAAAGTATTAACTCCCTATTTTATGGTTATTTAATTTTACAAACAAAAATACGTTTTTAGGCTATTTTTGAGATGATGATTCACTAAATTATACTATTGCAATTGACAAGAGGTAGAGCATCAAAAGCACAACCCAAATAATAAATGGTATTTGCTATATCTATTCACTAAATTTGAAAAATGTTAATAATCCAATCATCAACAAAGCAACAGCAAAATGACTCAATAATACTAATAAATATTTGAATTGATTCTCCTAAATCTAAGCTTACTATTCCTCAATACTAGGTCCTCTATTTATTATTGGTTCTGTAATTGATATCACCTACTACATAGTATTCGTTATAGCTGATTTTCTAACAAACATGTCTAACAGTCCATCCATTAAAGGCTTCTTGTCCTAATTTATTTGTTATTCTTTTCGCTTACTTCTACTTAATCTCGTTATTGCATTTCTCCAATTTAATAACAATTAATAATTAAATACTAATAAATAATAAATTTTTATTAATAAATCATTAACTCATTTTCATCCTCTTCAACGATATGCCATTAAAAAGGTTTCTCTTTGCTTATGTGTTTTAGTGAATTGATAGAGTAAATTTAATTAAAAAGAATTTTAAATGTCAATGTACTAAAAATTAAATATTTATTACAATTACTATTGTTATAAGGATAATTTAAGATAGTTCCTATTGAATTCGAAATATTTATTCTTTAAACTCATCTCAATGAAACTTTATCCATTTATCCCTAGTTGATTTATTCTATTAGATGAATTTATAATTTTATATTAATTTAATCATTAGCTAATGTATGTTACTTTTCTTCTTTATTTATAGATTTTTAATCCATTTAATTTAGCTCTTCTTATAATGAGATTTTTAATGATTTTATAAAATTAATTTTAGATAAATATTATTTATTGTATGGAAGTTGGATAATACTACATATTTTCTAAAATCAAGTAAACTTGTATCCAATGTCTTCAATTATGCTAAATATTGATCCTTATAATTTATTCACTTATTTTTTAAATTCTAAGTACTCCATGTAGTTTGAGATGTAAAATGCTAATGCAATAGTGCCATTCAATTATTTAAGTGGTTGGCACTTGAGATTGCACTCCATTTCAATTTTATTGCTTTCCTAGGTTTGATACATAATAATTTTACCTATACATAATGAGGGTCCATAAATATTGCATTGTTTTTTTGAAATCCTATGAGAAAGAATGCTTTATTATTTTTGCCAATTATTGCTCCGGCAAATTGTGAGATCTGCATATGTGATTACAAATTTTGAATTTCTAATTATCCTAATGATTTATCTCCTATAATAGCATGAATAATCAATAGATGAGGTTTTTTGAATGATAAATCAATTTGAGATTCCAAAACACATTATTCTAGAAAGTTAACTAGATTTATTTGTTTGATATTCATGTTATTTTTGTTTAGGTCTTCAATCACACTCATAATTTTAGGTCCTGTATACCAATCTCCAATTTTCATATTCAGATTGATGGATGCTCTTTTGATTATTTATTGGATAGAAAATGGAGCTATGGTCGAATATTCTTGATTATCATCGAATAAATGTATAATCATAGCTTTGGTTTTATTAATGGCCAGAATTTTGCATTCTCTCATTAGAGCATTCTATCATATTTCATAGAATAATACTGCCAACATCATCTGACCAACTCGTACCAAACATCCCCATCCTTAATCTGATATTGCCTTCCCCTCAAACTAAATATTCGCTCTATAACAGAACCAAATGAGAGTGTCCTTCTTCTAATTAAAAGCTTCGGCATTCTGTATTTCCTAACCAAATATATACATCAGTTCATCAATCTTGATATCCTCACTCCACATTTTATCTAGTTGGAATGCTGTGTTGGTCCTAATTTATGACAAACTTACATCATTTGCATTAGGCTTTATCCAAATCCTTGCTTTTATTTCATTTGAATAATTTATATATATTAGTATACATAATATTGTTAATTAAAATTAAGTAGAATATAACCATTGTTTAATCTAATGAACAAATAAATTATGTTTATAGATGATATATATGGAATGGTTTCAATTTAATAAGCTGCTTTTTCCAAAAGAAGCTAATTTTGATTAACTCATCGACTGGGATTGTTGGAGATTACCATTGTTGTGTTATATTTATCGAAGAATATAAGGATTTTAAATTTGGCTAGGATTAGGATTTGTTAATGGGTTGTAGATATTCGACTAAGAAACTTCAGTGTTTAGGTTTCCACTGCTTTGACTTTGAGATTAGCTCTAGAAATAATAAACTTAATAAAGTACCAATGATGATAACTGTGTATGGTATTGTTATTGTATTTCCCTCTTTCTTAATCGATCTAATCTTTGTTATTCTTCAAATAATAGGGAAGCTTGCAATATTTCTTATTTTCTTTGTTCTTTCACATTATCTTCCTGTTTCTTCTTTTCATTTTACTCATATATCTGATTGGCCAATCCATTTTAATACATTTCTTTCTATTTTTACTATATTGATCTTCGAGTTAAGTATTCTGTCTCCTCTTTGTCTTATCTTTCTTTCACTTGCTTATTGATCATCTAATCAAGGTACAACTTCGGATTATCAACCTTTTATCTATAGATGTCTTATAAAGCATTTTATCTTTCTGACAATTTCTGGTAATACTAATTATGTTTGGAATTAAGTTACATTTCTATATGAATCTTCCTATTTTTAAATTCGAAGCGATTCATTTTAGGTTTGCTCTTTATAAATTAATTATTCGAATTCTTTGTCCTTCTTCTCTTTTTCTTTTCTTTATTGCAATTCTTTCATTTATTATTCAACAATCTATTTTTACATTTCTCTCTTCTATCTTCTCATTTGTTCTTCCAATGACAATCCATTTATTGCATTGTTGATTATATCATTCTCTATTTTCAGCGTTTCTTGTTTCTAATAAAATACAATAATATCATACCTTCTCATCAATTATTAGTTTCTGATGATTCAAAATGAGATGGTTCTGTTACTGCAAATTTTATTTCATGGTTTCTTTATTCTATATTTATTAAAACTTTTCTTCTCCTTGCTTTTTACGTATCAATTGAATTTATTCCTCATCTTCCCTTTACTTTTACAGCTGTAACTCCTTTTTTCTTTGTTCTTACAATTGCGTCTACTCAACCAGTTGCTATTTCATAATCTCCTATTTCATCAGTCTCACCTGCTTCTCCTCATCTCTCAACTTTCTATTCATATCAAATTCCTTGTATCCATCATAATTGTTTTGTGATAAAATCATAAATTAATAAATAATGTTCAAATTAATCGACTGAAATATATATCAACTTTAAATATCCTCATTCCTTTTCAACAAGATACCTCCTAATCAAATCTATGTATGCGATTATCTATATTCCATATACTATTCATTTATTTATAATCCCAAACTCTTGATTACAGTTTCAAGTAAATAATAATAAAACTACCTTTCTTATTAAATTACATTACTGCTTTATCTACATTTAGTGAAATGAAACCACATCAGGGTATCTTTCCTATTGATTTATGATGTGATTGTCAAGCTTATTTTGATTGTTGATAAAATTAGGTAATATATAAATTAATTCAAAAAAAGTCAAGAAATTTGAATCATTTGAAAAACTTACCTTGTTTTTTTTTAATTTAAACTCAGTAATTGCATTATGTTGGTATATAATCACTAATTTATATATAAATGAATAAATATTAGCTTAGTTTCAAAGATAAAGAGATAGAGCAAATGTATTAGACTAAGTAGCATAATGAATTAAGAATATTAACTCTGAATATTATTTCGATAGGTCTCTTTGTTAATTATTTTGTCATCTCCTTGAATTCTGTGATAATGAACAGATTTGACTTTCTATTTTGGAAATTACTAATGATGGCCTACATGTTGGTTCAATACTACGCTGTGAACAAATATCCTCGACTTTTACGATTGGCTTTTATTCTCACAAATCATCTGAATAGTATATTATACATATTTGCATCGGACGATTAATACACCCACGAATTCGACATCATAAAGGGTGCCAATTAAATGGGAATGGAAATTATAATAGTATTGTCAGGGGAATTTTTGGACGCAGTTTTTTCGATCCTAAGCTTAAATCTCATACGAGTCATCTATGGTATTATGCACAGTGACATCCAATTTTACATACCCCATGTCACAACTGCAATACTTATAATATACTTTGTATTTTTCTTCTACAAATTCCACTATGCAAGGAGATCCCAATTTTTATTAACTCTAATAGACTCATAATGGGATAATATTTTGTCTAACTTGATTCGGAAACAGTCTTATGTAATTTTTACATTTGAAGAAGACTAATTGCACTACTCCATCAAATAAATCAATAATTGTGGACAATTCTTCTTTTAGAATCAAGACGTTTTTTCGTTTTTAAGGGAATCCAATTACTAAGGAAAAACAGTAGAGTCAATCATTTTGTAGGATATCAAATTATTTTAAATCAATCACCAAAAAAGAATGAACATTGATCTCATTTGCTAATTTCACAAGGAAATATTCCATATCTAATACTCCATCTACTCAGGTTAGAATCCAACAATTTTAATAATTTTCAAATAACACAGCATGTCTAGGAGGAAGTACAAACTAAGCAATTTCGATTAGACCTACAATAATTTTGTGACCCTATTTCTGAAGGTATTGAATAATATAACTCCAACATAACCAAAGTACTAGGAGTATATACAAATTAAAAGACAATTGTTTCTCTTTAAGTTATTGAACTTTATTTAAGAACGTTAATTCAATTAAAAATTGGTCAACTTGAGTTAAAACTTGGCGAGTATGGCATCCTTATATCCCGAAAAGAAGATATTTTACGAAAGTGTTGATGGTTCCCATTAAATAAAAACGATATCAAATATTTTATATTTTTTCTAAATGATTGTATTGGAGAATTCAATAGGTAGAGGAGTCAAAATCCAATACAAATCTTAGTAGTAGATATATACTCTCACATTTTTTGGCAGTTTCAATTTTAATAAACTAAAATTTGTTGTCTCTAAATTATCCTACCCTCTAAAAATGATATTTTATAAATTTAATATTACAGCCTAAAGTAAGGATTAATTATTAATTTAGGAATTACCTGCGAATTTCATTAGGAACCGCTAATACCATTTACGAAGTTGCATGTCAGTAAATATCATTGTAATTGAAATGTACTTAAATTAAATGTATTGAAATTCAATTTATATAAATGAAATTATAGTATTTAGTATTTTGAATAATCTCGATAATCTATACTTATGTTGAAGTAAGATAATTCTTTTTTTCTAGAGTTATTTGATTATCATATTATCATATCAGAATAGAATAGGATGTTATATATATTTAGAAGTTTCCAATATTAAATAACATAAAATAAATCAAATGAATATCATTTTCTTTAAGATATTTCAATTTTAATTTTGAATAATTGATTTCCCAGTCTCAACCGATTTGATTTTTTAATTTGTAATTAATTCAAAGAGTTGTACAATTAAGTACTCCTAATTAGAGATATTACTATGAGCGATCTTGTATAATTGGATGAGTTTCTAAGTAGTTGAGGCTGAGGGAATGATGTAGAAGAGTGTGCTTGTAAGCAGAATTGGATGATATGGGTATATTGGATAATAATTTAAAAATAAATTAAAGATTTTAATTATTATTTGAAATGACCAAAAAGACTAAGAAGGTTGGAATCACAGGAAAATATGGTACAAGATATGGTGCATCATTGAGAAAGATTATTAAGAAGTTCGAAATTTCATAGCACTAAAGATACTTCAATACATTTACTGGAGCCGTACGAATTTGATTTAGCAATTAGCATTCACTCAAAAGATAAGCTATTGGTATTTGGAGATGCACATAGACTGGTTTATAAATTGCTGGTGGTGCTTGGGAAGTCAAGTAATATTAATAACAATCATAGTACTCCTGCTGGATTATCTGCAAAATAAGGCATGTTGAGAATCAAGAAATTGAAGGAGGATGCTGAAGTTGAAGTCAAAGATGAGAAGAAGGAACAAAAGAAGCAATAACCTAAGGAATAATAAAAGGAATAACACAAGGAGAAGGAAACTAAGAAACCTCAACCTAAAAAATAATAAGCTAAGAAACAATGAGTATATTAATACAATAAATAATAATAATTTAAAATAATATGAATAAATTAGTATCTACATTAGTTAGGAGTATGCAAACTCAGGTGCCTCTTTACTCTTATCATTTCCCCAATGGATCAGTCTACAATAATGTATTCTAGTGACATTAAATTTAGCCAGCGGTGACAGCCAAGAGAATAATCAAGGTTGTCGGAGAAAGATTAAGAAAAATAGATCCTGAAAGAGTATTTATTGAAATCATTAACCCTTTTAGTGGGAATCGATTCCAATCACATTCAATACCAATTGGAATGATGCTGCAGGATATGTCGATGTCGCTACATGTATTCATATTCACGATGCCCTTGAAAAAGAATTTGGAATTGAAATCAAGGACAGAGCCTTCTTGGTTTCGAGTATTGAAACAGCATTCTATATCGTAAACATTCATCACGATAGTCATTGACACAATATCAAATAAAATAAATTAAAAACATAATTATATTTATGTCATAATAACTATTTAAGGCTTATTTTCAATCCATTAGTCATACTTTCAAGGATCTCCCAAAAGGCAACTTCTATTGGCGATTCTTCAAAAGAGATTTGGGTAGAATTATCAATATGCCATGTCCAGTTGACAGTCCCAATTAAGAGGCTGACATCGTAATTTTTAAGGAATTAAGAGCTTAAATTGGCATCTCAGAAGAAAATGTTTGTTCTAATTGCCCTTTTAATGCTAAGTGTGTAAAAGCGTTTTAGTAGTTTGATACTGGTAATATGCAAAATTTGCTTCTTCCCAATCTCTCTAGATTCTTAGAATAAATCAGTCTTTATAATTTGAATATGTATCAATTACTAATTAAATAAGTCAAAACTTGGATGATTCCAAAAGCTTTTGGTTAGCAAGCAATAGAATTCTAGATACTTTTCATGCTATTCTAATTGACTTTTAAAAAAATTAGAACTAGATTAATCAGCTATTTCTATAGGATTAATAAAATGATTCCGATGTCGACACTAACAAATATTCTAAACAAACCTAAAAATCGGAAAAATATTATAGGGCTGCTGATTTTTTGAATGAAAATCAAAATAATGAATAACCTTCTGAAGAACATGAAAAAGTAAGTTCAAAATATGAGAATATTAAACCTAAGAACTCCTTTAAGGATAATCAAAAATTTAACAAAAAGAGTAAGAGTAGTAGTCCAAATAGAAATTACTATGAAGGAAAGAAATCTAAGAGTGAAAGATAACATAGAGAATATGATAATAACTAAGATCATATAGATTAGGTAAGATCAGAAAATAAAAAGGAGATCTCTTTTAATAAAGAGACATAAAAGAAAGAGAAGGCAATCAAAATAAAAAATGAAAAATAGATTAAAAAAAATATGAAATTTCGTATTGCTTAATGAGGTTGATTCAAATATTACATTCATTCATTATTTTAATTTACCAATCTAACAAACCATCCATTCATTTACATAAGTTCTTCATATGATCCCAATTCAACGATCTCTCCCTTCTCCAGTACCACAATTCTATCGTATTACTGAATATTTTCTAATCTATGAGTAATAACAAGTAATGTCCTATTATCATTTTAGACGTAATCAAATAATGTCTTATGTAATTCTTCATCTGTTTTTGGATCCATGTTTGAAGTGGCTTCATCCAAACAAACAATATCCTTATTTTATAGGATGACCCTCATAAAATTGATAACTTATTTTTCACCATTTGATAGGTTGCCTCCAGATTTAGCAATCATGAAATTAATATTAGTTGAGGATTACTAACTTTCCTCCAAACTTGAACTATTAGTCTTATTTGAATCCTCCATGATCCCTCTTATCCTAAATTATGTATTGTTGAATGCTTGCTCAATTTATTGATCTGTTAATCTTCCTTGAGGATCAATGTTATCTCTGAGAGTAGCATTATACAAAAATCCAAATTAAGGCACTATTGATAATAATTGTCTCACATCTCTCAATTACATGTTTTAAATCTAAAATATAATAAGATTCATAAAATACATCATGTCCATTTATGAATATTTGTCCTTGTTGGAAATCATACAATCGGAATAAAATGTTTAGAATGGATGTTTTGCCTGATCCAGTTCTACCCACAAAGGCAACTTTCTCTCCTTTTTTAATAAAGAGAGAAAAGTTCTTTAAAGCATACTTGACACTTTGGCTTTGTAAGACATCATCATAAGTAATGGTGACATCATTGAACACTATAGCAAATTAGTTTGGATCGACATTTTATGGTTTAGGTGGTACTTGTTGTCTAATAATTGATTGGACTTATGGATTAATTTTGACAACACTGTCATATTACTCTTAAGGATTATTAAAGTATTATCTAATTCTTTCAACTGAAACCATTTTAGCTTCACTCTAGGTGAACCAATTCATTGTATCATTGAATTCATTAGCTATAAGTACAGCATATGTTAAGGTCATAGCACAAGTGGCATAATCAATTTCGATATTAAACAACATCATAAAGATGATGGTGATTGAAACAGATAAGAAGATCAAGTTACTTAATAAGTGTAATCTTACAGACAACCAGTAACTAACTCTTCTACTATTTACCAAAGAGCAAATAGATTCAGTTAATTTGACTATGTATTCCTGAATAAAGTATTATTGTTTCTCAAATGCCCTTATTGTTCTTAAGCCTCCAGTAGTTTCAGTGAGATGGGATATAACTTTGCCTTCATTTGTTGATTGGATTCTCTTAAGATCTCGATTACTTTTTCTAAAGTATTTTTACAGCCATCTAAATGCAAAGATTTCAATGATAATAATCACAATCAACCATGGAAAGAGAATGATGATTCCGATAGGATAGCCTATGCATGCGAGTAATGACATAATGAGCACTTCAACGTACCAAGGTAGTTCATCATCTACAACCAAAGTATCATTGGATATCCTATTGATAATTCTACCTTAAGCATTGTTATCAAAGAATATCATTTTTGAATTCATAATACTTTGATTTAATTTTTTGAATGTTCTCCACCCACTTAATAAGATACAGATTTTCATAATACCACCACTTACGAATGTGATCATCACTATGATGGCAATCAACCAAGAGAATTTACTATTAAATGAGGTTCCAAACCAATCATCAAAAAAGTCAAATGTGTGATTATCAATACTGATCTATGCTCTAATCCAAAAATCAATCATATTTCTACTCAACATCAAAACAACAGATAACAAGATTGCTAATATTACTAATGCATATCCCATTTAAGATATATAATATAAAACAGTATCTCCAGCAATCTCACCAGATTCCCTTTCTTCCTCTTCTGCTTCGTTTTTCTTTGCACCTTCTGTTTAATTATTCTCCATTTAATCTAAATCAATCTCTTGTGATTATCTCACTTTGACTTTTTCATGGATCATCTTCTTTTCTTCTTTCTCTTCTTTCTCCAATTTCTCCTATTCTAATTGATGTTGTTTCTCCTTCTCCTGAGACATAAAGTCATTTAATAGCTATTCATCTTCGCAAATTTAACCATCAATCATGTATATGATATTGCATTTATTGTACATCTCAATGAATCTGAATTAGGAAGTGATCATCAAAATGGTTTTTCCTTAATCCAATAACATCTATTTAATTCCTTTATTGAACACATTATCAGCCACATGCATATCTAATGAAGAGAATATATCATCCATTAAATAGATATCACAATTCTGGTACAAGGCTCTGCACAATGAAATTCTTTGCTTCTATCCTCCACTAATATTCTTAGCATCTGGTCCTAGTATATATTGATCTCTTTTGGGGAATGTAAGTAAATCTGGCATCAAATCACAAGCAGCTATACATTGCTTATACAATTATTTATCATAAGTTCTACCAAACAAAATGTTATCTCTTATTGACATGTTCTATAACCAATGATTCTAACTAACATAAGCGACACTCCCTTTCACTTTCAAACTACTTTGATTCTACTCTTTTATTTCCATCTCATTTAAAATTGCATTCAATAAAGCTGTCTTTCCACATCCAATCCTACCAATTATCATGTTGAGAGTATTCTTCCTTATTTTCAGTTCTGCCAACCTCAATTAGAATGTCTCACTATCATTGGAATTACTCTCCTTCGTTGGCCATTTGAATTTAATCTAAGGTATCTCTATTACATATTCTTCTCCGATACAATTTTTATATCTAATTATTTCTTCCTCATTGATTTCCTTAAGGTCTAAATAAGTTTTAATACGCTTGTAGGAAACAGTCGTATTGATTAGTTGGTTAACTGAATAAGGAATCACTCCCAAAGGAAATGTCAATAAATTAAATAAGGCTATAATTGTGAAGACGTTAGTTGATTTCAATGCATCCTCTCCATTTTCTTTCACATAACTGGACAAGAAGAAGTAGAGCAATATGTAACTGATACTACTCCATTGGACATTATTTATAATATCTATTATTTTCTACCACCTGATATATCCAAATTCTTTTTCTCTGATTGCCAAGATTTTATCATTGAAAGTTTGTTCCCATGAAAGATATTTTATTTGTTTCATCCCCTCAATGACATCCGAAGACAATGCTAATCTGCTATCCTTTTGGACCAAAGCCTTTCTATAAAACATCTATAAACAAACTGGATAAATTATTTACAATTGTCAAAGTAGTTGTAAAGGAATTAAATATAACCACACAGCCCAGTACTATTAAACCAGTCCAAACAGCATTCCCTAATTTAAGGTACAACATGTACAAGGCTATACTGATAGTCACCAAAGATGAAGATACTAATACGTATTATAATTTAAATTACATCCAAAAACACCCCAATATATACCGGAGAGTTCTTCGATATCAACTGTCAACAAATTGTTAACGTTGGCTACATACTCCTCATCTCCATCCTTTTTATCCTTCATTTCTTTTTGCACTGTTTCCTAAAGATACTTTGTTCTTAAGGCCTTTTAATAAATCAGATATTGCCCAACTATTTTTAATAATGTCGTAAATTAGTTTTAATAATTGTTCGAAATTGACTCCAAGTAAGTTCCAAATGTATAAACAATTGTCATTGTCAATAACAATAAAATGGGTTTCAAGATTTTGTGTTCGTCTTCGGGATCGTTATAGTCCTTGATTGAATCAGTGACTTTATCTAATAAGTACACCGATCCGATTTGAATTGCTTTGTCCAAAAAGTTTAGCAATCCTATAAATATGAACTTCCCCATAAACAAGGACTTAAATATGTAAAAGGTAGGAGTTTGATATTCCCTCTCCAGACTAATATTATTCTTTTTTCTCCTCTCTAACTCATTTAATTATATCCTACAATTCAATTATGTTTTACCTCTCAACTAGATCTATTGCCTTTTGAGGTTTTAAATTAGGCTCTAAAAAGTATTGCAAATCCGTATTCTCAAGTTGATCCGATTTCCTATTTATTAGTTCAATCAAAGGAGTAATGTTGGTGAATAAAAAATTGCATTCCTTGAAGTTCTCATGGCCGAGCAAAGACTCCTAATACTCACTTTCATCCTGTATCCCAACTCTCTTCATTTTAGTTAAATTTTAAATCAATAATAAAATTAAATTAATCAATTCTCAAAAATATGCGGAATCGTTTATGTAACACTTACAATGTAATAATACCTGTTAATTCTACAATTAATATTTTAAATTCAGGACACTTCATACCTGAAAAATTAAAATAATTTAAGGTTTGATTTAAGTAAAAATAATTATACCTTTAATTCAAAGTTTTAAATAAGTTAAAAATTAAATGATAATTTTTAATAAATTGAATACCGTCTTAATAATTCCATTTCAAAATTGTAATAACAATTCAAATGAAATATATTATATTTGAATGATAATATATCTGGAGACTAAGTTTAATTCAACCATCTTAATCTTGATTCCAGATGGAGTGCATACTGATGGATTTATTTTAAAATGTCTTATACTTGATTTCTAAATATTAAAGAACAACTTTATATAAAAATTGGGACGGCTATTTAATAAAGAGAAATTGCTGAGCAAAATAAATTGTCTTTTAATATTTTCTGAATCGTACTGAATATAATATTTAATTGATTATGTAATGGAGCTTCAAAATATATTGCAAAATTAGTAAATTCTTCCCTTTGTGTAATTTTAATTTTTTTAAGTTCAATTTATATCATGATCATTATTAAATTAATTTGAAACTAATCAGTTTATGATGCATTCTTAAGCAGGGCGATCTTCTTAAAGTAAATCCATATAGTAAGATTTTGTAAGCCCAACTGACTTTGCTAAAACTTTAGGCTAATTAGCCAATTTGATTATGAATTTGAATTAAGGAGGGTAGAGTGGAAAATGGGTGAGGAATTCTATTTTATATTGTTTTATATTCTTAATAAAGTATAAAAAATATTATTATGCAACAATAATTTACGGATATTAATTTGAATACATTTTATTTATATAAAGACGCTCTGGCTGAGGGGGAAAAACAATATAAATAGGGTCAAATTAATTAATTAAATAGCTTGATAGAAGCCTTGGAACAACAACAAAAGGAGGGCTACAAATTTGCTTAATTTTACAAGATGCTTAATGAGCAAGACCTTAACAAAGAGTTTACTGCACGAATTTTGGGGAACAACTTTGATAATAATAAAAAAATCAGTTGGTGAATGTTCTATAGATAATTATTTTAGCTATTAATAATTGTTTATTAATATTATATAATATCAGATTAAAATGAATACAAAGTCATCTATCCCTACTTTCATTCTAAAAACTTATTAAATGTTAGAAGTATGTTAATATTTAAGTATTTCAGGATCAAAAGAACACTAATGTAATTAGTTGGACTTCTTAAGGCACTGCATTTATAGTATACAATTAAATTTTGCTGGAGAAAGAAGTTTTATAGAATTTCTTTAAGCACAGCAATTATTCGAGCTTTGTAAGGTATCGAATAAGAAATATGATTGTAGACAATTGAATTTATATAATTTTAAAAAAGTGAAATCAAATGAAGGTCAAATCTTCAAGCATAAGTGCTTCCGCAAAGGCATGAAGTAATATCAAATCATCTAATTTAGATCAATGTTGTCATTTATCAAAAGAAAAAATCAAGATGATTCAGTAGGAGGATCTAATACCCTAGTTCAAGAAGAGCCAAGTATGTATATCACATTCATCGTTTAGCCATTCACATCAAGGAAGAATAGAATCTATTTAAGGAGTGCGCCATTGATATCAAAGAAACAAACAATAAGTTAAAAGAGGATATGAAATTATTATAAGAAACATCATCTTATTTAATTGATTAAATGCAAAATCTTAATCACGTATTTATTTCATTAGCCACAATAGTTTGTTTATAATTAAAGTGTTGACATAGAAGTTAAGTTCAAATAAGTAGGATAAATGTTGCATGCAATCAATGAAGAATTGAGATAAGAGAGTAAGAATTTAGTTTATAAATGTAAGATAAAAGTGAAACCATTACAAACAAATTTATGGATAAAAAAGAAGAATCATTTTAAGAATCAAAAGTAGGTTCTCCAAATCCTTATGTGGATTACAACAGTACGGCCCTAAATCCCTTAGATTATGAGTATTTTATTGACTCATTTCTATGAGAAGATTATTAAATTATTTTTTTAACTAATTAATTAAAAACAAATAAACATCAATAATGTCAAGTTAAAACTTCATTTATGATTTTAATCAGTTTTATTTCTACATTATAACTAATACAATAATAATTAATATAAATACCTTTCTTGATATTATTTATTAATGTAAAACATAAGTGAATCACATCCATTCTTTTAAAAATCTTGAAAATTCCAGAACCTAAGAAATCTATTGATGATTGGCTGCTTATAAAATAGATTTTCATGTGACCTCTAAAATAAGTTCCTTAATTTTTAATAGATTTAGAAGTATTTGATTTATCATTAATTAATTAAACACACCTTCTATCATGGTTATCAAAACTAAGACTCTCAGTCTGTGATCTTTTAATTGATATTTTTAAGTATCAGATGGTTTTAATGATCTTTTTTACTATTTAGATTTTTTTAATTTATCATCTTGCTACTTCAAGCTTGATAAATTGAACAATAAAGAGTTTGTTTCATAAGAATTTACTTTAAAGAAGGTTGAGTTATAATATATTTACTAGTATCCAATACTTAAAAAGAAAATTAAAATATTTGCATTTAATCTCATTATTAATTATTTATATGTAAAAACAAAATAAGTCATTTTTTGAGTAAGAAACTTGGTTTGGCTGAAATCGAATTGCCATTAGAATGGAGATCTCAATTTATTAAATGGACAAAAAAGTTAGAAAAATAAGATAAATATTAAGAGAAGTTGAAGGCTAGTATAGAAATAAAAAATAATGAATACTATCTAATCATCGAAGATGAAAAGGATGAAAAATAATCAGTTAGAATGAATATAAGCGACCTAAAATAGCCTATGAATAAATGTAATTTATTAATACCATCACCTCCTTATAATGAGCCAAGGGATATTTAAAACATCCATTGTTTACCATACAAAGCAAAAGCAAAAATTGAAAATAATTAAAAAGATGTTGAAGAATTGCAAAATAAATTTCGTGGCCTTAAATATAGTGATAAATAGAAATAGAAATATAAAAATTATTCTAGCAGTTCAGAAGTTGAACAAAGTCCTAGCGAAGATGAATTTTCAGGATTTTAAATTCCTGTTCTCTTCCAACTCTCTCATTTAGGTATTTAATTATTTCAACTCAGAAATTAGAGAATCACAATAAGGAAAATAAAATTAACCTGCAGAAGCTTACGATAAATCAAATTTAAGGAGTAACTTAATTGATTTCTTGAGAACCAAAGGTGACAATGGAGCTAACATCTAAGAGATAAAGTAATACTATAAATTCCAAAGCGTTCCAGAAGTATGAGTTGAAATAAATAATAGAAACATTTAAGAGATTCACTAAAACTGTTTGCAAAAACTACAATGAGGGCGAACAAATTAATTTACATCTTGCCTTCTACCTTATAGAATTGAAATATACATGATTAAGAAATCATATGCATAGATAATACAAATATTATATTATTTAATATAACATTTAATATAATATATTTTTTCTGTTTATAAAGAAATTTATAATATAAATTCTCATGATATATTTAGCTTAATAATATATAATAAGATAGATTATCTGAGAGAAATTGTCAAATTATTTGATTGATCAAGGATGAAGATACTTGAGAAAATCAAAAGATTATAAACATATTATAGGTTTTTAAAAACTAAACTATCCTTGAAATTTTGTTACTATAGGAAAAAAGTGTTTCTAAAAAAGCTTGAATTGAATGAGTTTATAAATAATAATCAGTTGTTTGTTGCTAGATGTTCATAAAAGCTATAGGAACGAATGAGCGTATTATTTTCCCTCACTTCTATTTTTAGATTATTTGCTTAAGGTATTGTTTAAGAAGTCTTATATCCTGCTAATTTTTTCGTATTAAGCACATCAAGAATAACAACTGGAATTGACCGTTTATTATTTTTGTAATAATGAATAAGAGATTTAGCACTAGAATAATTGAGATCCAAAGCTTTCGCAACCTAAAACTTAAAAAGATATATTTTACCTACTTTATCTATTTGCCCTCTTAAAATACCTCTCTAAACAACTATATCTATTGTTCTATAGGGATTTTGTGAACTTTTCTTGTATTTAATTTGGAAACTATTCTTTTTGGGACATAATCTTCTCCATCAGAGCTCTATGTGCTAGAGATAGGATCTTGGGTTTAGTGATGATATATTTGTTGGCTCATATGTCAATAAAGGTTTAAGATATTAATTATATAATTAACAGTGATTATGAATTATTTCATTATGATTTTTAATTATCTAGAAATTATATCTTCTGATTTTCTAATAATTAAATATACAATGTATATTACAATATAAAATCGATCAGTTCTAACAAATGGAGGAGATACATAAAATCTTAAGATATGGATCAAAAATAATAATTATAAATTTATCTTGATATTATTTATATTTCTAATTCATTAGGCTGCAGCAACAGGAGGTTTTCTCATTTCTCTGACAAAGCGCTCGTAGATTTCATCTTCTCTTTGTTTAAGCTCATTCTCAGTACTTGGAGCATAATAATTTGGATAATCCAATCCTGATGAGTTTGATATATATAAATTACCATATTTTGTAATTTTGAGTAGTTGTTTCTCAACATAATTCACAACTTTGGAAGCATCAGCCCAATTTCTATTAGCATTTGATCTATGTCCAAGAATAAATGGTGGTCTCAGATGAAAATATTGATTTTAATAGTTCTAAAAATTAGAAAGAATATTACAAGTATTTTTTCAAGTCTTGCACTAACAGGATAGAGATTAGTAACTCTACCTGATTCATGATTTAGGAATGCTCTCATATGGTTCAGAAATGATTCGCCTTTGATAAATTCTTGAAATACCAACTCTTAATCTCTTGGCAAATGCTTCATATTCATATTCAGTCAAATCAGGTCTTAATGTGCTAAATGATGATTTATAATATTTGAAATGCTATTCAGTTGTCATCTATCTTGCATTGATGGCTATTCCTCTTTCTGGGTCAATGTATACTTCATCTGTATCTGTTCCTCTTTGATTTCGTAATTAATTCATTATTATATAAATTAATACTAATTTTAACTTTTATTTTAATACAAATTCCTGAAACTTAGAATACTCTCTACTATTAGAACTGTCTATTTCTACAATAGCAAATAGTAAGTCATGTATTCTTAGTGGCGTCCAACTTGATAGTAATAAACAGATGTTATTCTATAATTTAATTTACTCTAATAATTAAATTATGACTAGAATTTTTCTGAATTATGCAACTTTTAGGAATTTAAATTACTTTAAAGTAAATTATTTTTGTTTTAAGTTCAATTAACTGATGATCTTCTTACAAATTGGTTACTCATAAACAACATTCCAAACAGTTGAAGTGAACTTATAACATAATCAATTAATTTATAAAAATACTCAAATATTACAGCTGTAAATAACAAAAGCTACTAACTATATAAGAAGATCATAATTATGAATTATATTTGTAATTTTTCTAAACAAAAAATAATTGTGTAGAAGTTCATTAAATGATTTTGGTTCATTTATTAGTCCAAAGCTTAGACGATTTGATTATTATATCAATTTTATGAATACTAATTTTAGTATCGCAATTCATTGATTTTTATTTCATTTTATTGATACTTATAATTTTAGACATTCTTTTAAACTACAATAATTTAGAACCAATTATTGTGTTATCTAAGAGTAATGTAATTTATCCAATTTGCTCTGAAATCTTTTATTTTATTTAACAATATTCTATTATCCTATAACTCTTATTTTCTATTGATTGTTTGATACAATATTTCTAAATTAAGATGATAAATAAACATTTTTATCATTGGAAAATGGGAGGA